TGTTGCCGATCTCAGCTCACTGCAGCTCCCGCCTCCCCGGTTACGCCATTCTGCCTTACCTCAGCCTCCGAGTTATATCTTACACACACACACACACACACACATTTCTACAGGCGGCCCGTCCACCGCGCCCGGCTTAGTTTTTGTATGGTATTTTTAGTAAGACGGCAGGATGGTCTCCATCTCCTGACCTCGTGATCCACCCGCCTCGGCCTCCCAAAGTGCTGGGATTACAGGCATGAGCCACCACGCCTGGCCGACACTTGGATTGTTTTAAAAAGTTTTTGGTGTGTACTTAGGTAATTTACAAGCCCTTGGGGCAACTTTGGGAGCTCTATGTGATGATAGTGGCAAGTTTGCTAAAAGTGTTTGCCAATGAAACCCCACGTTCTTTGGAGGGTCGGCACGTGGGTGGCAGTTGGAGAAAGTTGTCCGCTGCTCATCCGTGGGTGATGGCCATCCTGCCTTGCTTACCTGTGCTCTCCGGGCCAGAGACTGTGTAGGCCAAGCAGAGGAAGCTCGGGTCCTGGCGGCCCCACCACCCTCCCGCACTGCCCCCACTCCCCCTGGCCCTGCCGCGGACTGTGCCCTCCAGCCTGCCCGAACCTGCTGCCCCCCAGCCCCCTCCAGCTGGCACCCTCCCGGGGCCCGCCTGTGTCATCCCAAGATAGCTGGGGCCACTCACGTCATGGTCACAGCCTTGGGGAATCGCCTGGTCCAGGACAGCGAGCGTGAGCACAGGGCAGCCGATGGCATGGAGTGGAGCCGGGCACCCCAAGGCAGCGAGCGTGAGCACAGGGTGGCCAACGGCACGGAGTGGAGCCGGGCACCGCCGAGGCCCTGTGGCTGTCTGGGCGTGTCTCCCTCACTCCACTTGCCTCTGCGTCTTCTGTTGAGGCCCAGCACAGAAATGGGAGTTTGGGGTTTTTCAGCTGAAATCATTTCCGGGGTTCATCGGTGACTTAGGAGAAGTTAAAGGTGCACTGGCCAGTGTCAGGTACAGCCCAGGGCAGTTGGTGGCGCTCCTGAGCTTCCTGCCTCGTGGCCACAGTGGCTGCCTCGGGAGCACGGGACTTGGGCTGTGACTCCTGTCAGCTCGGGGGTGCCGGTGGCCAGAAGCAAGGGTGGGTGTGAAGGAAGCTGCTTCCACAGTGTCCAGGCTGGTGCCTGACACAAGAAACATCCCCGCGCAGGGCACTCGGGAAGCCTGCGAGAAACAGCAGGGCCTGCAGGTCCCCCGCTTGGCCCCTGTATGGGACGGCCTGGGTCCCCCTCGCCATCCATCCCAGGCCAGCGCCTGCGTTGCTGTTGCCCACAGCCTTGGCCCTGTCCTTACCGCTCTGGCCACCAACCTGGGACCCTGCTACAGGGCCTGCCCACCTGCTCAGGGCCTCTCCAGGTGCCCCACACATGTGGGCTGACAGGCCCTTGGCCACTGCGGCGGCCCCTCTGCAGCCCTAACAGTGTTGTGGACTTTGGCCGTCATCAGCGGCGGCCTGCGTGGCCCACAGGGTGGGGGCAGAGGCTGGGCCTGTGCCAGGAGGGGTTTTGTGTTTCAGGGCCAGGTGTTCTGCTGTGCCTGCCCCGTTGGCAGCTGTGGGCCTAGGAGGTAGACGTGGAGCTGGTTGGAGCCGGTCAGTCTCCAGGCTCCCCTGGGGGTGTCCACATCCCTACCATGAAAATACTCGCTTCTCAGAGCCCTGCAGGCCTGGCCTGGTGGGTCTCAGAGCCTCCCACCTGTGTGTATGGGCGGCCCAGGCCTTCCCACCAGGACTCTTCAGCCTCTCTGTGCCGGGCACCTGCCCGGGTGGGTGCCCCTCGCCCCCCAGGCCTTGCCTCTTGCTATGGACCCCCTGCAGGCTCTAGGGGTGTGGCTGTGAGTGTGTCGGCGTGGGAGTGTGTGGGTGGGTGGGTGTGGGGGTGTAGGTATTTGTAGATGTCTGGGTGTGTGGGTGTGGGTGTGTTGGGTGGGTGTGTTTGGGTATCTGGATGTTTGTGGGTATCTGTGGGTGTTTGTGGGTGTCGGTGTGTGTCTGGGTATGGGTGTCTGTGGGTGGGTGTGTGGGTATCGGTGTGGGTGTTTATGGGTGTCTGGGTGTGGTGTCTGGATGTGTGGGTGGTTGTGTAGGTGTCTGGGTGTGTGGGTGTCAGTGTGTTGGGTGTGTGGGTGTCTGGGTGAGTGGGTGTGGGTGTGGGTGGGTGTGGAGTCTGGGTGTGGGTGGGTGTGTAGGTGTGGGTGTGTGGGTGTCTGGGTGTGCGTGTTTGTGGGTATCTGGTGTGTGGGTGTCTGCGGGTGTTTGGGTGTCTGTGGGTGTCTGGTCGAGTGTGGATTTGTTGGGTGTATGTGGGTGGGTTGTGCGTGGGTGTGTGTGGGTGTCGGTGTGTGGGTGTTTGGGTGTGGATTTGTTGGGTGTGTGGGTGTCTGCATAGGTGTCTGGGTGTTGCTGTGTGTGGGCATATGTGGGTGTGTAGGTGTGAGTGGGTGTGGTGGGGGGGTGTGGATGTGGGTGTGGGGGAGTGGGTGTGTGTGGGTGTCAGTGTCTGGTGTGTTGGGTGTGGGTGGGTGTGGGTATGCCTAGGTGTGTTTGGGTATATGTGGGTGTGAGTGGGTGTGTGGTGTGTGTGCGTGGGTGTCTGGGTGTGGGTGTGTGTGAGTGGGTGTCTGGGTGTCTGTGGGTGTGTTGGGTGTTGGTCGGTTGGGTGTGTGGGTATCTAGGTGTGTGTGGGTGTATCTGGGTGTATGTAAGTGTGGGTGTGTGCATGGGTGGGTGTGTGGGTGTGGGTGTGAGTGGGTGTCTGGGTGTCTGTGGGTGTGTTGAGTGTGGGTCGGTTTGGGTGTGTATCTAGGTGTGTGTGGGTGTATCTGGGTGTATGTAAGTGTGGGTGGGTGTGTGGGTGTATGTGGGTGTGGGTGTATGTGGGTGTGGGTGTATGTGGGTGTGGGTGTATGTGGGTGTGTGGGTGGGTAGGTGTAGTGTGGGTGGGTGTATGTCGGTGTGGGTGTGTTTGTGGATGTGTGTGAGTCGGTGTGGGAACATGGGTGAGGGATGGGGGCTGTGTTTGGGTGTCAGGGGTGAGTCTGTGAATGTGTGTCTGTGTTGGGGGGTGGGTTGCATGTATAACTGTTGGTGGGGGGGCCTTGCCTCACTTTACTTTGCTCTCCCTGGGGTGGGATGCACAGATGTGGGCTGTACGTGCCCAGCCTCCCTTCCTGGAAGCCCTGGCTCGTGGTGGGCGGTGCCTGGTTCTGATTCCCACGCCCCAAACCATTTCCCTGGGCTCCTGGCCTTGCCTAGAGTCTACACTGATGTTCTGACTTTTTCCAGGAAAGATGAAGCGTGTGGACAGTGGCTGGGGTCACCTCGTGGTCACCCTGTGGCCCAGCTGCCCCGGCTCTGACGCTTTGCGCCATCCACTTCTTTTGTTAATTAGGGGAAGGTGGGCAAGACGGAGGGCCTGTGCTTTCCTGGCAAGATATGGCTGGAGACACATTGTCACAGCGGGCCCTCTCCCTCCCTCTGGGGTCCTGGTCGCCCTCCCTGTCCCCAGCCTGCAGCCCAGGCGGAGCCAGGTGGCCAGTGACCTGCCCGAAAGCAGCAGGCCCCAAGCACCGACCTCGGGATTTGGGTCATGTCCCGGGCCAGCGCCTGGCTTGTGTGATAACAGGCACAGGCAGGCCTTCACCCCTCCCTGCGGACCGGCCCAGATCTTCCCACGCCCTGCGGGGTGGGGCAGGGCCTCACAGAGCTTCTAGAGGCAAGAGTCTGTGGGAGGTGGATGGGGGTGGGGAAGGGGCCTCTGGGCCGTTAGCCCTGGCACCTGGCGCTGCCCACGGGACTGGCCATCCTCACGTGACCCGGCTGTCTCTTTGTTGTAGCACAGGCTCAACAGGATGGTGTCGACCAGGGCCGGGCCCGGTGCTTGGGAACAGAGCCTTTGGCCACTACCAAGGCGAGGGTGGGCTCGGGAAGCCCCAGGCAGCGCACCTGTCTCTGGCTACCCTCCATTTCCAAAGCCTAATGTGTTCCTTGATTTTCAGGGAGGAGCTGTGCTCAGGCCTGTGCCGGACACAGAGCTGGAGCTGTCCCCAGAAGAGCAGAGGGTCCTGGAAAGGAAGCTGAAAAAGGAACGGAGGAAAGAGGAGAGGCAGCGTCTGCGGGAGGCAGGCCTTGCAGCCCATCACCCGCCGGCCAGGCGCTCGGGAGCTGAGCTGGCCCTGGACTACCTCTGCGCGTAAGCGGCCCTGCCCCACATAGTTTTGTCCCAGGCATGTGTCTCCACCCTTGCCCGAGGGGGTCGCAGCCTTCACCCGCACACACTGTGTGGAAGGTTCTAGAGTAGTGGGGCATTAGCATTCATGCCAGACCTGTGCTGCCGCCACTGACTTTTCTGTCTGAATGGCTCAGAGCCTTCAGGAACTTTCAGGGGCGGCAGCAGAGCTGCCACCTCTGCAGGGGTTGCCCGAAACTGTGCTCTTAGAAATGGGTCCGATGGTGAACCTCGTCCCAGCCATGCTCACCACAGGAAGAATCCAAGCCTGGGTGCTCCTTGGATGCGGGGGTGAGGAGGAGGGAACTCGGGGTGGCCTTCAGCCCTCACTCACAGTGACAGGAGGTGCCATTGCCTCCCGAGAGCGGGGAGACGGGGATCGTGAGGTGCCAGGCTCAGGACGCCATCTCCCTGGCTGCCTGCGACGTTGCTGGGTGGATGATGCAGGATTGCAGGGGTCAGAGGCTTTGGCATGGGCTCCACAGCCTTGCGGGCCGTGGCCACCTCCCCGGTGCTCACCAGCACAGGCTGCTGCCCGTTTTTGTCCGCTCCGTCGGTCTCCCTGAGTGCTGACTGCGCCTAGAGTAAGGAATGTCACAGCGTCTGTGTGGCTGGCTTTCTCAGAGACAAGAACTGGGTCCGGTCCCTGTGATGGGGTCACCCCGAGGGGCAGGGGGTCCTGTGGGGGGTGCTGGCTCTGCCCAGGAGGACAGACTCCAGCCGCACCTCTGTGGGAGCCCCTCAGAGAGACGACGCCCGGTGCGGCTGTGCAGCTGGCAGAATGAACAGCGGGGCTTGCATGGATGTGCACACTGCATGCACACGTGTGTTGTGTATACTGTGTGTGTGCACTTGTGTGTGCATGTGTATACGTGTGTTGTATATACGTGTATGTGTATATGTGTGCGCATGTGTATACGTGTGTGCGTGCATGTATACGTATTGTGAATACGTGTGTGCATGTGTACGTGTGTGCATGTGTGTTGTGTATACGTGTGTGCGTGTGTGTACACGTGTATATGTATGCACACGTGCGCATGTATGTGTTGTGTATATGTGTGTACGTGTGTTTATACGTGTGTGCGCATGTGCTTACGTGTGTGGTGTGTGTGCATGCGCTTATGCGTGTATTGTGCATACGTGTGCGAGCGTGTGTATACGTGTGTGCATGTATATACGTGTTATGTATACGTGTGTGCATATGTACGTGTGTGCATGTGTGTATATGCATGTGTGCGCGCATGTGTATACGTGTGTTGTATAACCATGTGTGCATGTGTGTTTATATGTGTGTGTGGACGTGTGTGTTGTGTGTGCATCCCCAGGACGGCCTTCCACCTGCAGGAGAGGGGCTCTTGGCCACCCTGTACCAGGCTCAGCGCTGGGCTCAGGAAATGGGGAAGGGGGGTGAGCCTCCTGCTTCTCAGAGCTTAGGCTGCCTTGGAGGGTTGCAGAAGGAGCTCAGCCATAGCGTTGGGTGAATCCGGCTGGAACCAGTTGAGTCATCATGGGTCTCTGCACCAGTCAGTTCTCTGGAGCCTTAGCTTCCCCCTCCCTGGGGAACGTGGGGCTGAGGCCAGGTGCCTAGGGCTACCCCAAGAACTCTTTCCTGCTCCGAGAATGTGCGTGGCCCAGGGGACAGTGCTGGCTGTGGTGTGAGGCCGCTGCCTCCTGTACCCACTCCTGCTTCTCGGCAGGCAGGGCCACAGGCCACCTCAGGGTCAGTCGCTGTAGACAGAGGGGGCTTTGGAGGCCATTGGTACAGCGCCTTGAGCCCAGGTGTGGGTGGGGTGTGGGCTGGACAGAGGAGTGGCTGGACACAGGCCTGGAAGGCGCCAGCCACAGGAATGGACCGTGGGCTCCCTGTGGGAGGCAGAGGGCGACTGGGGCCTGCGGCTGTGCCACCTGCGCCCTTCCTGTTTCCACCAGCAGGTGACTCTGTTATGGACCTGCCCTGACGCCTGGGGCGAGCGGGGAGCAGAGGTGGGTGGGGTTTGTCCTCCTTCCTCCCCGCGTCTGTCGGCGCCTTCGGCTGCTCTCAGTGTGAGCTCTGTTAGCACGAGGGGGACGTTGGGGACGTGGGCAGGAGGGGGGACCAGCCGCTCCACAGCATGGTTGCCACTCCCTGGTCTTCACCCTGGGGGTGCCCTGGCTCCCCTTCCGTGATCGCACACCCTCCGAGCTCCCCACAGGAACGTCCTGGGTGCCTGGGAGCCCGCCCTGCTCCCATCCTCAGCCTCACCCTCCTCTCACCCTCTGGGACCTCCCCGTGGCCCCCTCGTGCTACTCGCAACCCTGAAGCAGCAAGTCCTGTGCGGAGGCGCTGTGTCCTGGATGTGGGAGGAGGGGGGACCCTTACTCCCGAGAAACAAAGCAGCCCCTTCCCAGGCGCGCCACACACCAGGGGGCCAGCCACAGACACGGGCACCCAGGCAGGAGCTTGTCCTCTTTCCTGGGGGTCTCCAAGGGCGCCCGCAAGCCCAGCCGCATCTGCTGCCAGATCAGAGCCCACGTGGATGTGTGGGGCCCACGGTATCCCTGGCAACTCAGGGTTTTCCAAAGAGAGGAAGCCAAGGGATTCCCACAAGGGAATGCCCTTAGCCTGGAGGCTGCTGGGGACCATCGGCCACACCACGGCTGGCCCACCACAGAGCCCCCAGCACAGGGGCAGAGGTGAAGGTAGATGCCCCTGAGTTGTCCTCCCCCTGCAGAGGCCCTGGGCTGGCACTCAGGAAGGATGTGCTGGCCGCCGTGGCCCATGGCCATCTTATGGGCTTTCCACGAGGGGTTCCTCCTGGAAGCAAAGCCATCTGCGGCCGGGTGGGCTCTGTGCGGAGGACACCCCGAATTGTTCTGGTGAGCTCTCGTGGTGGAGTGTTTCCTCTCATCTCTCTGGGGGTGCCCCACCCATTCCAGGATGCCTTGGGGGTCTCCCCTCCAGATCCCCCGAAGGCTCTGTCCCCCCAGACACGTGGACCCAGCACCCGTGGGGTCTTCATGTCCCATTCCTAGAACCCAGGTCGCAGGCTGGGCAGCGTCTGCACACAGTGACCTTGGCCTGTGACCGGTGGCCATACCCTGGGCTGTTCTTGGCATCTCAAGGGTTCAGTTCCTCTGCAGCCTTCCTGGGGTACTACTGGCTTTGTGTGGAGCTGGGACTGGTGGGAGCTGCGCAGCAGGGCTAGGATGGGGGATTGTGGCCGTTGTGTGCTATTTCCCTGGGCTGTGACCGTCCCCTCATTTCCCCAGCAGGGGCCCTGGACTTGGTCGCCCAGCTCGGAGCCATGTTGCTCTGGCCTTGCATGGTTGGAAGCGGGGGAGTGCTGGGGTCAGTCCTTCTGCTTTCCGTGGGCCTCTGGGCTGCGGGGTCCACTGTGGTAGTTACATGGCTGTCAGCAGGAAGCCTGCTCCTTAAAGAGAAAGAAGAGTTTATATGCTTAACACGGAAAGTTGAAGGTTTACTTTCCATATGGCTGAAAGAAGAAAACCAGCATGCCTCAGGGCCTCAACCACGACTCCACGACTGCTGGGTGTTCACATTGGGGGCGGGTGGCGAGGTGACAACTGCCTCCCAGGTCCCTGCAGGCTTGAGCTCGCTGTTCTCAGGGGCTGACCCCCTGCCTGGGTCTGCTCGAGGCAGGAAGTGGTGCCCCCACAGGAGAGAGAGGAGCTGGGACCCGGGCCGCACGGATCCAGCCAGAACAGAGTCCCCCACTCACCTGCGGAGGGATGAGAGCAAGTCACTCCGGCCATGGGGCAGCCCAAGCCCACCTTCCTCAGGCCCCCCACGGAGCCCAGCACAGCATGGCATTTTAGCCTCCTTGCAGCCTGTGGCCTCTGGGCCTGGAACCCTGGAATGAAAGGCCAGAGTAGAGGCCAAACGATCCCATCAGTGGGGCTTAGGAGATACTTCTTGGGGTCCTTCCCTACCCAGGCCCACTGCCCTGCTGCCGAGGGACAGTCCAGCTCCAGTATCGGAGGAGCAGCCAACCCATGAGACCCGGCCCCTGCCTGTGCCAGCCCCGCTCAGGCCTTTGTGGGGTTTGGGTCGTCAACTCGCCCCGGTCGGCAGTTCCTGCTGCCGTTACGAGCACGTGGACGCTGTGGCTGTGGGCCGGCTTCAAATGCTGTCTCAGCAGAGAACCTCTCTGTTTTCTTTTGGAAGGGGGTTCAGCAAGAAGCCCCCGCTTTTTGTGGGGGTTTTTTTGTTTGTTTTGAGATGGAGTCTCGCTCTGTCACCAGGCTGGAGTGCAATGGTGCAATCTCAGCTCACTGCAACCTCCGCCTCCCAGGTTCAAGCGATTCTCCTGCCTCAGCCTCCCAAGTAGCTGGGATTACAGGCGTGTGCCACCCACACCTGGCTAATTTTTTGTATTTTTAGTAGAGACAGGGTTTCACCATATTAACCAAGATGGTCTCAGTCTCCTGACATCATGATCTGCCCGCCTCAGCCTCCCAAAGTGCTCAGCTTACAGGCATGGGCCACTGCGCCTGGCTGCCCCCGCTTCTTGTTTTTTAAGCCCAGTGGGCTAACAGGGACTCTGGTTCTCCACCCAGCTGGTGAGTACCACAGGGGAGGAGGCCCTTCTCTCTGGGCTGCTGTAGACAGATGACCCTGCAGTGGCTGTGGCCCCTGCTGTGCTGGGGACAAGGGACTTCTCTCTGGCTGTTCTCTTTCCTTTTCCAAGATGGGGCTTCCTGTCTCCTGCCCCACCTAGGCAGAGAGAAAGAGGATTGTGTCCTGTGAACTGTGCAGCTGCATAGGGACCGGTCCCCAGGGTGAGTGGCAGAGGCGGCCATCACTCAGGAGGCCTCGCCCAGCGTTGTGCGACACTGAGCGACACTGAGCCTCTCTCCTGCCCCTCGCTGTGTCTGTTCCTCCAGTGACGAGGCCAAGAGCGGGACGGCTTATCTTCAGTGACCAGGGAGACGGGCTCCGCTTGAAGCCTGCCTGGGCTGGGTGAGAGAGAGGCACCCTTGGTTCAGGGCCATGGGCAGCAGTGCTGTGGCCTCAGGCCGCGTGGAAGGGCAGTGTGCAGGGCAGCTGTGATTGACTCACCGTGCGTGGGCTCCGGTAACACCCGTGAAGTGGGGTCACTGCTCCAGGTTCCCAAGGAGGAAACAGGCTGGTGGAAGCAGCAGCTCAAGGTGGGGGAGTTAGAAGGTGGCAGAGCTGAGACGCCAACTCCTGCCCTGCAGCGGGGAAGCAGCCCCCAGCAGGCAGACGCCATGGCCTGGCTGGCCCGGGTGCACCTCACAGGGGCCCATGCTGGCCGGATCGGACATCCGGGGATCAGACCACGTGGGGCTGTCTAAAAGGAAAGGAACTAAAGTTAAACCTCCCTGGAGGCTCCTCTCATCACGCAGGAACCCTGTGTCGGTGCACATGGGGCTGGTGTGTCACCTAGCAGGTACACAGCTGGTTCTTCACCCACAGGACTCCATACCCGCAGGAATCCCCACCTGCAGGATTCCCCACCACAGGACTCCCCTCCCGTAGGACTCCACCCACCCACAGGACTCCACCCACCCACAGGACTCCCCACCCACAGGACTCCTCTCACCCACAGGACGCCCTACCCACAGGACTCCACCCACCCACGGGACTCCCCACCCACAGAACCCCACTCACCCACATGGCAGTGAGGACAGGCGGGCTGGGCAGTGCTCACAACAGGCTCAGGGCCCTCGCCTGTGCTGAGCCTGCAGTCTTCAGACCTCGGCCTGCACATTGATGGAGGCATCTGGGCTTGGCTGCCCTGCCTGACCCTGGAAACACGTGTCTGGGAGGAGGTCTCTGGACTAAACTCCGCCTGGCCCTGCTCTAGCCACAGCGCCGGCTTCGCTCCGTCCGGCAGCTGCCTGATGTCCACAGGCCCCAGTGCAGGAGCAAGGTGGGGGCGGGGCGGTTGTGGCCCCAGGGAGCCGCCCCTCTGGCAGCCGGGAGCTGCTCATCCCCAGGCCCACTGCCACCTTGTGAGGGCCTGGACTCAGGAGTGTTCCTCACCGTCTTCCCATTTTCATACGGAAAGTACATCGTCAATTAAGTTGCTCCCTTTCCTCCCAGAGAAACTCATTTCATCCTCCCTCCCCTGTAAAATCCGTGTGACCCATGGGGCGGGGGAGCCCATGGGGACTTGGGGGGAGTCGTGAGCCGTGGGGTGGCCACGGTAAGAGTGGCGTCCATGAGCTTCCTGGGCAGGCGGCAGCAGGGCCTAGGGTTGTGGCTCCTCACCTTGGGCAGAGTAGGGGCTCCAAAAACCCCCTTCACCCGGGGCCTTGGTGTTTAGCGCCTGGTGGGGCTCTGTCTCCTGAGATGAGGCGTCCCAGATCTGTCAGGACAGACAGGCACCCAGGAGTCTTCTGCCCAGCACCCTGAGATGTTTGTCTTCCTTTCCCTAGATGGGCCCAAAAGCACAAGAGCTGGAGGTTTCAGAAGACAAGGCAGACGTGGCTCCTGCTCCACATGTATGACAGAGACAAGGTGTGTGCATGGCAGGGCGGGCGCGTCTCCCGGGGGCTGAGGTCCGTGCACGGCGGGGCGGGCGCGTCTCCCGGGGGCTGAGGTCTGTGCACACTGGGGCCCTGACAGCGGAAGCCACAGTCTGAAAGGGCCACCCTCAGGGCCCGCTGCAGGGAAGGTCTCCTGGTGCCCTTGTTCTAAGAGAGCTGCGTTGCCTCCTCCAGGAGCCCCATTGCCGGCCTTCAGGACAGAAACCAACACAGGACGACCTTAGGGAGGCCACCTGCCCTTGTGCATGTGTGCCCGTGATGTGTGTCTACACATGAGTGTGTACGTGTGACGTGTCTATACGTGTGTGTGACGTGCGTCTACACATGCGTGTGTACGTGTGACGTGAGTCTACACGTGTGTGATGTGTCTGCACATGGATGTGTACGTGTGGCGTGAGTCTGCATGTTTGTGGTGTGTGTCTGCACATGTGTGTGTATGTGTGACACGTCTGCACGTGCGTGTGGATGTGTGTCTGCACATGCATGTGTATGTGTGACGTGAGTGCACGTGTGTAATGTGTCTGCACGTGTGTATGTGTGACACGTCTGCACATGCGTGTGTGCATGTGACGCATGTCTGCACATGCAAGTGTGGGCAGCTGTCCTTTTCAGGGGCAGGATGTGAGATGGGGTTTCACAGAATGAAACGAGACAGAATTCTGAACTAAACCCAGCTGCTGGGAGGTGGGCTAGAGCTGCCCGTGTCCTTTGAGGCTGGTGGAGCCCACGGTTCTGCCTTGCCAGCTCTCCTGCGCCCATGTTACTAGAGACCAGGCTTTGTGTGCTCTGTGCATGTGAGCTGAGGGCAGGGCGCGGTTTTCTCTTGCCATGCCTGTGTTTGCAGACTCTCAGAGCGGGGCAGGCCCACTGGCCCCACTCACAGCCCTGGGACATTCCAGGCATAGCCTGCGGCCGCTTTCATTATTTTGTTGATGTTGGTTTTTTGTGGGTATTTTTGAGACAGGGTCCCGCCCAGGCTGGAGTGCAGTGACATGATCACAGTTCACTGCAGCCTCAACCTCCTGGACTCAAGCCATTCTCTCTCCTCAAAGTCAGAGGACATGTGGTGCATCCCGATTGTAAGCCCTACTGCATGCTCCTGTCATCATGACACTGGGGTGGGCACAAAGCTGGAAGTAGAAGTGACTGGAACAGCCTGGGGAGCCTGGAAACCCTCAGGCCCGGGGCAGCTGATTCCAGCACGTGGGCCAAGCCCATTCCACGTGGAGGAAACTTCTCAACAGAGCCCAGGACAACTGGGTTTCCACGTTTGGCTTTGTTTTTTTTAACCGAAGTTTACATGGTTTTATTTATATGTTACTATTACCAAAAGTAAACTTTATACAAAAATTTTTATACAGAAAAATAATCCTTGGTTAGGCAAAGCCATTTATATGTGTGTATACACACACACACAAAGTATCTTACACTGTCATAAACATATTTTATAAACACACAAATGTGCATTTTACTTATCCGTTTTTATTCCACATGTATTATAACCGTACATATTTACAAATATGCTAATACTTAATGCATGCGGCCCCCAGCTTCACACCATATGCAAAAATTAACTCAAAATGGATGAAAGACTTAAATTTAAGAGCTAAAACCAAAACTGTTACATGAAAATCTAAGAGTCTATTTCATGACCTTGGGTGAGGCAACGGTTTCTTAAATGTGGCTCTAGAAGCACAAGTGACAAAGGAAAAGGTCGAGAAAGCATCCTCATCAGGATCTAAGACTGTGTAGCGAGGCATGGTGGCTCACGCCTGTAATGCCAGCACTTTGGGAGTCTGAGCCGGGCAGATCACTTGAGGTCAGTAGTTCGAGACCAGCCTGGCCAACATGGCAAAACCCCGTCTCTACTAAAAATACAAAAATTATCTGGGTATGGTAATGCTTGCCTGTAATCCCAGCTACTTGGGAGGCTGAGGCAGGAGAATCGCTTGAACCTGGGAGGTGGAGATCGCACCACTGCACTCCAGCCTGGGCAACAGAGCAAGACCAGCTCAAAAAAAGAAAATGCATCTAAAACTTTGCACTGCATACAGAACTAGCCAGAAAGTGAAATGGTTGCTCCAGAATGGGAGACGTTTTAAGTCCCACATGAATGAGAACTCTGCTAACTCAATAATGAAGAGAGCCCGGTTTTGAGAGCTGCTGCCACAGGGACCTGAGGAAACCCATCTGCAGAGCAGATTTGCAGGTGGCCGGCGAGCCTGTGCAGAGGAGCCCCCACCACCAGCAGACAAGGGTCAGGCCACCAAGAGATGCCACCTGGCCACTGCCACCCTGAGTGGAAAGAAAAGCACTCCAAGTGCCAGAGCGTACGCGGCTTTTTGTTCCGAGTGCACATTTTATCATGGCCTACCCCTGTTTTATTTTTGTCATGTTTTCTCATTTTTCTGAGGATTTTTACAATGTTTTTGAAATGTCCTTCTCCCTGCGCGGCTTCTGTTTTAGCCACAGGTTGATTCAGTGTTCTCTCTAACAGGTGTTTCTTCTTGCAGCATCTGGGGCAGGGTCTGTGGCCAGGCCACCTGCTCCCTCGGGCTGCGGTGGGAGGACGGAAGCCTGAGGCCAGGGTGTCCTTGGCTGCAGTATCTTGTCTCCTGCTGCTCAGTGGCCCCGCCCTGCCCTACCCCTGACCGACTCTGTCTCTTCCCTGTCAGGTTCCCGATGAGCACTTCTCCACCATGCTGGCCTACCTGGAGGGGCTGCAGGGCCGGGCCCGCGAGCTGACGGTCCAGAAGGCAGAAGCTCTGATGCGGGAGCTGGACGAGGAGGACCCCGATCCCCTCCTGCCGGGGAGGGTCCAGCGCATCCGGCAGGTGCTGCAGTTGCTCTCCTAGCGGGTTCAGCGCGGGACGGGGCCACTGCCCAGCGCAGGGCGGCCTCGGACCACACAGGATGCAGCTCCTCCGGCGGTGGGGGCCGGGATCACCAGCACCAGAGCCTCGCAAGGGCCCCTTCTGTCCTCCAGACCCTCCTTGGCCGGAGACAGTTGTGACAGTGACGACGGGTTCAGTGCCTTCAGCACAGAGCGTGGACGCTCTGGAATCACCCAGACACCTGGCCTTGGAGGGGCCTGGAGCCCTGGGAATCTGCTTGGGAGGGAAATGTCTATTTTTCTACCAGGAATATTTTAGAGATTGGGCCACGCTGGCTCCTCCTGCCAGCTGCAAACCTGCACCTTCCGCCTGATTCCCCATCCCCCTGCGTGGGCTGCGTTCCTGGTCCCCTGCCCGCGTCTGTCCAGGGGCCTGGCTGTTGCCTGTTTTCCTTTGACCCCACACAGCCTCAGTGCTCGTCATGGGGAGTCCCTGCTGGGGGCTTGTGGAGTCAGATCATGTACCTGTGCAGAAACCGTCTCTGTGGCCGCATTTGAAATAAAACACGACCCACCAGGGGCCGTGGGTCCTGCTCTGCCCGGTGCGTCCCCTGCCTGTGGACTGCAGAATGCGCGTCCCCCATGCCAGCGCGTCCCCGATGCCAGCGCGTCCTCCATGCCGGCGCGCCCCGGGCTGAGACCCCGCCTTTAGTGGTGGCCGTCCCAGGATGCCATTCGTAGCTCTCTATGTGTGGCATTCCTGGCAGTGGGTGCTGGCTGACCACTTGCGTTCAGGCTGGCTGTTTCCCAGCGCTGTCAGTGACTGACCCTGCCAGGAAACACACTTGGGCCACACAGAATTGAGCCACACACTTCCTGTTCCTAGCAGCCTGTGGTCCCCAAGTGATGTGAGGTGCAGCGGGGCATTGAGAGGGCCATGGTGACCACAGAACTCTGGGCAGCTGTCGTGGAGGGCTGGGTGGCCATGGCGAGGAGGTCCATGCACCCCTGCGAGGCCAAGTCTGTTCCTGGCCATGGTGAGGAGGTCCGTGCACCCCTGCGAGGCCAAGTCTGTTCCAGGATAGGCCCCGGGGAGGGCTGAGTCCAGCGGCTCCGGCCTGGGCGTCCGCAGAGCAGACGCCCAGGTGCTGCTGCCCCAGAGCTCCCTGCTGCTTGGCTCAGGTTGGGGGTTTGTGCTGCCATCTTAGTGCTCCCCCAACTGATGGTGGAGCAGAAAAGTAGCTGCAGCCACCACCTGGCAGCCTTGGGACGCTGGCTCAGGCCCTGAGTGCCCCCTTGAGTGCCCCGCCCCCCAACAGAGCTGCTGAGGCTGAGGTCAGGCTGCCTGGCTTGGTTGCCCCTGACCCACAGAGCTGCATGCAAGCCGGGAGGTGGGAGCACGGCCTCACCACCGTGAGAGCCGTGAGGCACAGGCTCCAGGCTGTCATCCTGGGGAGGGCTTTAGGCTTCTCGGGGCCTGTACCTCAGAGCGGTGACTGACCTCACTGTGACCCACAGACGTGTACTGTGACTTCCATCTTAGCTCCCTTAAGACACCCAGGGCTGGGCTAAAATGTGGTCCAAGCTGAGGAGCTGGGTCCATACATCGGGGGGGTCTGGGCAGGTCTGGCTGACTACTCAGGCCGTCTCTATGTGGGCATCAAGACTCGGGGCTGGAGGAGACCCTAAGGACCGAGTCTCCAGGTCTTCTCTGTACCCACCGAGCTGTGGGAAGGCGATGAGGCTGTTTGCTCTTCTGTGACCAGCAGCCAGCCCCGTCTCACCCACCGTTGGGGCCAAAATTCTGACCACCCACAACACAGGCCTTGCTGTGTGCACTGCATGGGCCCAGGATGGGCCTTGCCAGCAGCAGGCGAGGAGTTCAGCCCCTCCTGGTGCCGGTCAGGTGAACTCACAAACAGGAAGGCACGTTACACAGCACGAACCTTCAGATCGGCGAGGCGGTACCTGCGATCCGGGTCCTGGCAGCACAGCTCTGCAGAGAAGCTGCTCGGAAGGGTCCGTGGCCAGCCCAGCAGTCAGGGTGCTCAGCGGCCCCTATGCTGGGAGGCTCCTTAAACACCAACAGACAGTAGAGGCAGACCCGCAGAGTGCAAAGAAGGGCTGATAGATCCGGAACCATGGCTCTGAGCTTCCCAGCAGCCAAATCAGAAAGGGAAATGTGGTAGGTACTGCTGAGTCCTCACTGACAGTTAAAGGGAAGAGTTCTTGAAGACCTGGGCCTCCCTTCGTCAGCACAGATGCTCCTCTGACACCGGCTGGGGAGTGCTGTCTTGTCAAGGGTCCCCACCTCTGTGTGTCCTACGGTGCCAAGCTCCTCAGGGCTCCCTGGCAAAAGGTGCCCAAGGGTGGTGCGGAGATGTCACCTGGGACGCAGCTCAGAGAACCATGCAATGCCCTGGGGTCTCCCTACCCCATGGAGGTCAGTGAGGGCACCCACCCATGCAACCCCAAGGCTAACCACACGGAGCCACCTGTGCTGGGGCTGTGTGTGCCGGAGAACAGGCTGTGAGTCCCTGTCTCGGCTGGCGCTTGTGCGGGACTCCTGAGCCAGGAAGCCTCCGGCTAAGGAAGCCCCACCTTAGCCTGGAGACGACCCTCACATCCGTCCCTTACATGTGTCCCTGGGCAAGTGCTCCTTACGGTGGAGAGGGCAGCTGCTGACCCGCAGCAAGCCAGGTAGTGGATTGAGATTTGTGCCAAGTGAGGGGCCAGACTTCAGTGCGGGTATGCGTGCTGTTCCTTCGCATATGTCCAAGGCCGTAGGTGATGGGCTGTGACAAAGCATCTGGGCGGAGCTCAGGGAGGAATGTGTCTGCAGTGAGTATGTAGGCGTGTGCAGGTGTCAGAACCACCAAACCACACACTGATAACTCATGCCGGGTGGGGCGGCTCACGCCTGTAATCTCAGCACTTTGGGAGGTGGAGGCGGGAGGATGGCTTGAGCTCAGGAGTTTGAGACCAGCCTGGGCAACATGGCTAAACCGCCCTCCTACAAAAAATTAAAAATCCGGGGGTGGTGGCATGTGTCTGTAGTCACAGCTACTAGGGAGGCTGAGGTGGGAGGATGGCTTGAGCCCAGGAGGTTGAGGCTGCAGTGAGCATTGATTATGCCACAGAGCAAGACCCGACATCTAAAATAATTTTTTTTTTAGGGCTGGGTGTGGTGGCTCACGCCTGTAATCCCAACACTTTGAGAGGCCACGGTGGGCGGATCACGAGGTCAGGAGTTCGAGATCAGTCTGGCCAACATGGTGAAACCCCATCCCTACTGAAAATACAAAAATTAGCCAGGCATGGTGGTGGGCGCCTGTAATCCCAGCTACTCGGGAGGCTGAGGCAGGAGAATCGCTTGAACCCGGGAGGTGGAGCTTGCAGTGAGCAGAGATTGCACCACTGCACTCCAGCCTGGGTGACAGAGTGAGGCTCCATCTCAAAAATAAAAAATTTTTTAATCAAAAGGAACACTGGAAGTCAGAATCACATTTCCCGTGGGGGTGAGCAGATCTATGTAGACGGGCTTTCTGGGGCAAAGGGGCCTCCCTGACATTGGGGGTGTGAACACTTGTCAGAGCAGCACTGAGACCTGAGGAAACCATCCCCTGTCCCAGCCCACCCAGCCTCTGAGGAAGCAGCCTCTGAGCAGTTTGTTACAGGATTGACTTCTGACAAACAGCTCACACCGGGTGCTGCCTGCTCACCTCCACCAAGAATGACAGGTTCGGCCACTGAATCACCCTCAGAGCACTTTCCTCCCTCCAATCCCCCAAGACAGTGGCATCGTTTTAGAAACAGGGTCCCACTCTTGTCGTACAGGCTGGAATGCAGTGGCATGAGCTCTGCTCGCTGCCACCTCCACCGTCCCAGGCTCAAGCGATTCTCCTCCCTCAGCTTCCCGAGTAGCTGGGGCCACAGTTGCTACCACTGCACCCGGCTACTTTCTGTATTTCTTGTAGAAGTGGGGGCTCACTGTGTTGCCCAGGCTGGTCTCAAACTCCTGGGCTCAAGCGATCCTCCCGCCTTGGCCTCCCACCGTGCTGGGATTCCTTCCAGCGTGAGCCACCGTGCCTGGCATTTATTTCTGGATGACTGGGTGCCCAGTGTTCACATCCCAGAGCCTCAAACTGACCTTCCAGCCCGGGCCGGCGCTGTCCGCTCCCCACTCCTCTCCCTGGAGCCCCGGCCGCCTCCAGCTGGCCTCTCCCCCTGCCTGTCCCTGCACAGATCAGGTGGCGCCACCTGCCGTCCGTCCAGCTCCTCAGCTCCTGCTCCGGTCACAGTCACGCGCTGGTCGGGTGCCGTGCGCCACGCGCCCTCCAGTGGCTCCCAGGGATCAGTCTCTCCACCGCACGCTCCAGCTGCCGTCCCCCTGCCCTGCCTGGGTCAGGCCACCAGGCCTGCCCACCGGGACCACAGAACTGCCGGTACCCCTGCTGGCTGCACGGGTTTCACAGATGGTAAAGCTGAGCGCAGCCTCAAACCCTGAATAACCATCAAAGTTAAGATCCTTCAGACTCTTCCAAGCCTCACCTCATCATCCGTGGCCCAGCAGTCCAGAGCCACGGGCCACCTACCCGCTTGTTAGGCAGCGGCAGCTACCCGATGTACTCTGACCTCAGACACCCCAGGACTTTGCTTAGATTTCACAAGGGACTGGGTGCAGGCAGGAGGGGGTGGAATTTGGCCAGTGATGGGCCTGCCTCAGGGCATTCGTGAGACCTGCCTGGAGAGAGCTGGGCGCTGGGCTGAGCTGTCTATGTCCCGCTGCCCTCTGAAGCCCGGTGAGCCCACCCAGCCCTGCCATCGTCCTGCCTCCTTCCCCCTCACCATCCAAGGGGGGAAGAAGAACCCCGCCCTGAGGGAGCCCCAGCCATCACGGGGAGAGCCCAGGTCCCAGAGTGAGGCGAGCTTCCAGCCTCTGGGTTCCCGGCCAGAGGTTTCCTGATGGGGGCTGCCCACTCCGAGGGAGGAGCTCCAGGACATCTGAACCAAGACCCCCACCACACTGGACGCCGCCCCCAGCCCCTGCATGTGTGTGCCCTGCAGGTGTGGGTGAGCGGTGGCGTGGCAGCTCCCGTGGGTCACTTGGGTTCTGTTTAACGGCGTCTCCATGGGTAAAGCTTGGCCTCCTCCTAAGCCCGGCCCCCCCCGGCCCTCAGATGGCCGCCTCCTCCGAGCTTGCTGTGGGAGGTTTGCAGATGACTCGGGGACTGTGGTTTTGTTTTACCTTGACTTAGGAGGGTAATGGGAGGCCCGTGCGGCCCGGCTGAGGGCCAGCCTCAGACCCAGAAGCAGATCTGGGGCCGAGAGCCGCCTGCGCACCCCAGGAGGGTCCTCTCCTGGAGACCGAGAGGTGGGGGGTGCAGGGGGCGGGGTCGGCGTCCCCCCTGCTGCTGAGGACAGACGTCCAGGGAGCAGCTCAGCCCCGTCGTGAGCCATGGGGTTCAGGGTGTCTGCCTCTCCCGTGACATCTGGGCACCGTGATGTCCGCAGAGGCATCTCCCGAAATCCACGCGCAAGGAAGCTGGGCTCACGGGCTGCCCCCGCCTGAGTTCTCCAGGACCCTTGAAAAGGACCCGTCTGCAGGTGCGTGGATAAAGCAGCACCAACTCCCTCCCCACTCACCCGAGGTCCCCAGAGCCCTCACACCCACAGACCCAGGAAGGAGAAGGGCTGGGGTGGGACTCGGAGCAGCTGTCCCGAGTCTGTCGTCTCCCGAGACGAGAGTGGAGCTTCAGCCTGGGAAGATGAGGAGACTCTGGAGGTGACGGTGGTGGCTGCACAGTGCAGCGAATGTGACTGTGCCCCTGAACTGTGCACTTAAACATGGCTGATGGTGAATTTTCTGTACGTGTGTTTTATCACAATTTTTAAAAATGCCAACAAAAAAACACTTGGAAATGAAGCGTAGACGTCCATGCCAAGCCCCGGCGTTTCCCAGCAAGCCTCCGGGATGTGCCTGCGCACCCTGCCAGCAGCCTGAGTGCAGCTATGAGAAACGGGGGCACCCAGGTCTGCCCGGTCGAGAAGGTGGCACCTCTGGGTTCGGGTCTCACGTGGCCCCTCCCTTCCCTCCCCCCTGCCCCACACCCCTGCCCATGCCCCTGGGCACGAGTTGAAGGAGATTTGACATCTGCTCACGCTGTTTTCACTAAGCTAGGCTTGTTTACAATCGAGAATGAGGCGTTTGGACCGCCTAGCTTGGGGGGCCCTGGCTGCACCCCGTGGAGGAGCCCTGTGATGTCGCTGAGTTGTTTCTTCCCGGGTGAGATGGGGTGAGAGGTCGCGTGAGTCGGGCAGGCGGGGTCAGGGATGGAGTCAGGGTTGGGGTTACATTTGTCTTAGTGCTTTGAGGGGAAGCTCAGCCGTCACTCATCCCCCTGCGCTTGGCATCCCTCACGTCGGCTGGGCCTCCATGAAGCGGGTCGGGAAAGGGTCAACATTTCCTCCCCACGTGGGCCGGGGACTGCCCTGGGCCCGCGGAGATGAATACCCCAGGCCAATGTAAGGCAGGGGCATGAGGGTCCCCTGCAGGACTGGGAGGGCGGGGCCTGAGTCCTCCACCCCACCCAGGAGGCCGACTAAGTCAGGGGCAGGAGGGTCCCCTGCGGGACCGGGAGTGCCGGCCCTAAGTCCTCCACCCCACCCAGGAGGCCCTGACGACAGCTGGGAGGGACTCTCCACAGCCCCTGCCCTGGAATGTTCCGCACCCTCCAGAGCTCCAGAGGGGCTCACCAGTCACACTGGACGGGGTGTCGCGTGGCCCCACCTGGCGCCGAGACCCCGTTCTCTCTGCCCTTCAAGTTTTCAGTGTCATATTTCAAATGTCTGAGAGGAGAATAGTGAAGCCAGCACTTGGTCTCTGCTCTTCTCCAGAAATACGTGAGCGGACGCAGCCGAGCCCCCCTCCCTCCGCCCCTTCTGGTCCTTGCAGTGGGTCCAGCAGGTCCAGCAGCCTCCACAGCAGCAGCCCCGCCTGTGACTTAGGGACCCTGCAGCCCCACCCGGGAGTGTGAGGCCTGCCGTGCGCCCACCCGTGTGTCCCGGCTGCCGGGTCCTGGCCTTGGGGCGCCGCTCCACAGGGTGCAGGTGGGAACGAGCCATGGCTTATTCTCTTTTCTTGTGAGGGGCCACCTGCTGCTCACATGCATGCTCTGCGCTGGGCCGGGGCCAGGGCCATCTCAGACACCAGGTGTCCCAGCACACGCCGGCCACGCCACCACCAGCACACACGCCACGGGTCCCGCAGTCACCATCACCCACTTCACAGAGCGGAAAACAGCCTGGAGTGGAATGGGTCTGCTCAGGTCCCCAGAAAATGGGGCAGACTTGGGAGCCTCCGGCTCCAGTTCCTGTCTCCAAAGGAGAACGTGGGCCTCGCCTCCCTGCACCTGTCACGCACATGGAGGACCAAGGGCAGCCCCGGTGGCTTGGCTCACAGTCTGGCACTGCAGGCCGACTGCCTCCAGGTATAGCCACAGGAACTGTTCCAGGAGCAGGAACGGAGCGGGGTCTGCAGGAGTCCCAGGGCCTGGTGGGTGCAGGGCTCACACGCTGAGGACACCTGTCTGCGCCTGTCTCTGGCTGGATGCAGCCACCTGCCATCTCTCGGCAGCCCCAGCTGGGTGGGCCCTCGGAGGAGCTCGATGGGTGGGAGTGCAGCTTCAGGGGTGGAAGAGTGGGCAGGGCCCTGGAGGCGCTCCTGGGGCCTGGCAGGGACTGAGCTGCAGATGGCACCAGAGGGGTGGGGGTCCCACAGGGTCGGGCAGGGGCAGACCTGGGTATAAGCAGAAGCAGCTGCTGACCCTGTGGGGGTGGGGGTGGGAGTTCTCAGGGCTCTCCCAGAGCAGTCCGAGCTGGGGGCTGGGAGGGGAGTGGGCAGGAGGACCCAGGGACTGGGGGAGCCCCTAGGGCCTGGGCACCGCACACAGGGCCTGGGCCCGCGGGCGCATGGTGAAAGCCGGGGCAGGCGTGGTGTCCAGGGAGGCCGGGCTGACACCAGGTGGGGGCAGCAGGTGGTACTTCTGCAGGAGGCCAGCAAACAGCAGGAAAAGCTCGGTCCTGGCCAGGCGCTCCCCGACACAGACACGGCGGCCTGCAGGGGAAGTCAAGGCACAGAGTGGGCTGTGCCAGGTCTGCTCCTGGAGGGGAGGGGTGGGGACCTCCCCAGGGAAGCGGAGGAGCAGCCACAGCTGCCTTCAGAACCTGAGATCAGGAGGTGAGAGTGGAGGCGGCAGGCGGAGCTGGGGACGTCCCACCCCTGCAGCCCTGGTGGTGCCGCCCCACCCCAGCCACAAGGGCTGCCGACCTGCAGAGAAAGGCAGGAAGGCCTCCTGCTTCACGAAGTGCCCGTCCGCGTCCAGGAAATGGCCCGGGTTGAACTGGTCTGGGGTCTGCCACTGTGTCTCATCCAGCAGCACCGAGGTCAGCAGAGGAATCACGGGCGTGCCCTGCGTGGGCAGCCAGGGCACAGAGAGAGGGGCCCCGGGAAAGGTGGGATGGGGCCCAGATCAGGAAGTTTCATTCCAGGATGTAGCTCCTGCCACACCCACCACAGCTGGTGTTAGCCCACTTTGCAGGTGAGGCACCCGAACCCAGGGAGGCCACGTGACCCCAGGGCACACAGCCAGGGGCCCCGAGGATAGAGAGAACACCCAGGATGCACGGAGAGGGACACCCCAGGACACACGGAGGGGACCCCCCAGGACACATAGACAGGGATGCCCCAGGACACACGGAGGGGACCCCCCAGGACACATGGACAGGGATGCCCACAGGACACATGGAGGGGACCCCCCAGGACACATGGACAGGGATGCCCACAGGGCACATGGAGGGGACCCCAGGATATGCAGGGAGGCACCAGGTCTGCTGGCCAGAGCCCCAAGTGCTGGGCTGTGGGGTGAGGGCTGCCTCCCTCCTGCTCCTGGCTGGACGCCCCTTATTGCCTCCAGTTGGGGAGCCCTGGGCCATCAGGCACCCACTGGAGGCTCAGCCGTCCCAGTGCCCCTGCACCCCTGCCGAGGCCTACCCCGAAGGAGATGGAAGGGGCGAGGGAGGCCCGGCCCCACCTTGGGGAGCAGGAAGCCGCCCAGCTGCATGTCAGTGGCGGTGCAGCGGGGCACGTGTGGCAGGAGCGTGATGAACCGCTGCACTTCGTGGAGCACGGCGCTGGTGTAGGGCAGCACCTGCTGGTCCTCCGGCTGGGGAGGCCGCCCATGGCCCAGCACACGGTCCAGCTCCTCCTGCACCCGGCCTGGGGCGAGGGGTGGGCCGCGTCGGTGGGAGTGCCATCCCTCGGCCCTGGAGGTCCCTCGGGGGTCCCCCGGGGGCAGATGTCGTCTCGCCTGGCGCCGGGGTCTCACCCTGCACGTCCGGGTGCCGGCCCATCAGAAGCGCAGCCCACTGCAGTGTGGCTGAGGTCGTCTCCGTCCCGGCCATGACCATGTCCAGGGTGCAGGCCACTGTGTTGTCTTCAGCAAACAGGCCCTCAGGGTCATCCCCCTGCAGAGGTGTGGGGCAGGGCTCCGTGGGATGATCTGGGGTCTGTCCCCCACCCCACAGACCTAGCCCAGCCCTGGGCTCCAGTATGGATGCCCCAGTGATCTGGGCTCAGCCATCCCCCAGGCAGGCAGTAGGGATGCCCCGTTTCACAGACGAGGAGACTGAGGCTCTGAGAGGCCGCCAGCCAGGAGGTGGGGAGCTTGGTGCAGGACTGGTATGGACCCCTTCCCAGCCCTGCTCCCCTGGGGTGGCCCTCAGGACTCCTACAGGCCTTCGAGGAGGACCTGGGTCCTGGCACACCTGTTCCTGCTGGATCAGGGCATCCACATAGCTGCACACAGGGTCCCCCGGGCGCATGTGGGGCCGCCGCGCCTCCAGGAGGGTCCTCAGAATGGCGCGGACCTCCTCGATCTTTCGCAGGACGGGCCGGTGCAGTTGGAGCAGGGCCCCAAGCCAGGGGTAGACGTTGAATAGCTGGGTAGGAGGCAGGAGGAGCAGAGATGAGGACGCAGCCCCAGGACTGCACCCTGGCAGGCAGTGATCGTCCCCAGCAGCTGTGTTCACACCCAGGGGCTCTGGGCGGATGTGCTGGAGGCGGCCACAGAACAGGGACCCTTCGCCCTCAAGGGAGGACCAGGGACTCCCAGAAAACCCCCATCCGTGCTCTGGAAGGGGACAGCCAGGCAGGTTTGCACAGCAGGACCTCCTTCCATCCTGGAGAGGGAGGAGGGAGGCGACTGCCACCATGGAAATAACCTTGAACCTCCTGGGAGTCATGGAATGGGAGGCAGAGCAGACCTCAGACCTCGGAGAGTTGGGGCCGCCGCGGACACGAGGCTGTATCTGAGTGGTGAGCCTGGCACCAGCGGGTGCTCCATGACTGCCCACGGCCATCTCGCCACACCTCATGCCACTCGCCTTCCTGGGGTGTCCGTGATCACCAGTAGCGAGGTCCACATGGCGCCTCCGTGGCAAGGAGCTGGCGCCAGCAGGGAAAGCCAGGGAACGCTCCGCTGCCCTGGCACTGCCCCGGACCACGCAGTGCCATGCAACCTCCATCTTCCAGGTGGGCTCCGGGCCCTCCTGGCTGCACCAGTAGGCAGGGTGGTCTCACCCTGGCTAGGACGGGTAGAAGCTGTGCCCCCCGCTCTCGCTTGTGAACCCGCCGCTGCCCTCACTCCCGTCACAGCCCTGCCGCTGGGAAGCCAGGAGGACCAGGACCCGTGGCCTCTGGGTCCAGCCGTGACGTGGGTATCACACCTGAGATGCGGGCTTCGGTAAACACACATCGAATACGGTGAGGACCCAAAAGAGGGAAACTTTACATTTTGAAGCAAAATGAAATGCACATGCGTTCCAAACATCAGAGGGATCAACTTTTGTGGTTTTGGGGCACTGTGAAGGGTGTCGGCTGGAAGGTGCCTGGACCGTCAGGGCTGGGGGGGCATGAAGCCCCCCGCAATCCTGGGGAAGCCATGCCTGCCTCCCGCCCCCGCCCTTGAGCAGGTGCATCTGTCACTGATGAGAGCGTCGAGGGAGATCAAGATCCCCCATTTCCTGGAGAGCACAGCGGCTGGTTTGAGGCCACACGACCAGCTAACGTCAGATAGGTCTGGATTCAGGCCCTTGAGTCTGATTCGTTTTGCAAGGTGGGAGGGAGGGCCAAGAGCTGAGAGGGGACAGTGCTGGGGCCCCTGTCCTTCCCCTGCACGCCCAGCACCCCGGGCTCCACCCCACCCCGAGGACGGGAGGCAGCCCCTCACCTGCAGGCCAGGGGACCCCAAGAGGACCATGACCTCATCGATGAGACCCAGCAGGGACACAAACACCGGGTCCCGGTAGTCGAACCGGCGGCCGAAGAGGAGCGTGAAGGTGATGTTGGAGGGAGCCCAGCCTAGTAGGGCCAGTGGGAAGGGCTGGCCTGCAAGGGAGACAGACCTCAGGCACGTTGAGGCCTGGGGAGGGGCGTCCCCAGCCCCCTGCTCACCTCTATAGCCATCCAGCTGCCCCGAAAGGCATTTCAGTTCCTGCAGAATCTTGTCAGCCACCGGCTCCCGGCCCACGCCCAGGCTGTGCAGGGCACGCACCGTGAACTGGCGGGCAGCTCTCCAGCGCGCCCCAGACGAGAAGAAGATGCCTGTGGGCAGATGCAGCGCCCAGTGAGCCCAGGTTCTCACCCCAGCCAGTCCCACCAGGCAGGCAGATGTGGTGCCTGACAAGCCCAGGTTCTCACCCCAGCCAGCCCCGCCAGGCAAGCGGGCAGGAAGTGAGCAGGCTGACCTAGGGGTAGTAAGACTGGCTGGGCCCTCACCCCCAATCCCACTCCCGTCCCCCTGGACTGGCCCCGGCCCCTCTTGACTTGGGATGAGAAGACCCCTGCTTGCTGGTCCTGAGCACCTGACCTGCTGTGTGGACACCTGGTCCCCCCCAGCACCAGCCTGGAGGCCCAGCTCCTGCCTGCTCTTCCCCAGGCCACCCTGGGAGCCTTTTCCGCTGCTGGCACCCCCACCCCTCCTGGGATCCAGGTGCCGCCACACCCTGCAGTCCCCCACTGTGCAGGCCACATACCTACCTCCACCTCGCTGGATGAGCTGGAAGATGGCGATGGGAGGCCGGTCGGCCAGCTCCTGCCCAGGGCCTGCCAGCGCCTCTTTGACCACCTTGAACCCTGTCAGCACCACCATCTTCTGGCACCCCAGGTGCACAGTGAACACCGGCCCGTAGCGTTCCGAGAGCTGGCAGGGATGGCAGGCGTCACCCAGGCAGCCCTCACCCACAAGGCCCCCCTGAGGCCCCCTCAGGCCGGGCCTGTGCTGGGCAGGGGTAGGGACAGAGGGGAAATGGGGGCAGGTGGAGGGAGGCGCCTAGATGCCATACGGCCGGCTGTACAGGGTGGAGCAGGCAGCATCCAGCCTGGAGCCCACAGAGCCCCCTCACCATCTGATGCTTGGCATGGCTGTTGTGGGCTTTTCTTTTTAGCCCAAATTCCCAGGGAGCTCTTTTGAGCCCTGAGTCCAGGCAGCAGGGATGGGGGCTGGCTATCTGCTAGGGTGGCACTTTCTGAAATGCCAGAGTCTACACAGAGTGAGAGCCTGACAGGCCCGGCCCCCAGAGACCCTGACCATCCTCGGCTGCAGCCCGGGCAGCAGCACCCAAGCCCACAGTTGGGGGCAGCCAACTGCCTGACTGGTCAGTCCCGTCCTGCTGACCCTGCCTGCCTGAGTGAGGACTGAGTGACAGGGCCAGGGCCGGTCAGGCCGCCCCGTGCCGTGTACGTGTACCCTCTGTCCTCAGCATCCCTGCCCAGGAGGCACGGGTCCTCTTCCCATTTCACAGATGAGGAAACAGAGGCTCAAAAGTGGGAAGTGGGGCCGGGTGCGGGGGCTCACGCCTGTAATCCCAGCACTTTGGGAGGCCGAGGTGGGCGGATCATGAGGTCAGGAGATCGAGACCATGGTGAAACCCCGTCTCTACTAAAAACATAAAAATTTAGCCGGGCGTGGTGGTGGGCACCTGTAGTCCCAGCTACTCTGGAGGCTGAGGCAGGAGAATGGCGTGAACCCGGGAGGTGGAATTTGCAGTGAGCCGAGATTGTGCCACTGCACTCCAGCCTGGGCGACAGAGCAAGACTCCGTCACAAAAAAAAAAAAAAAAAAAAGTGAGAAGTGTTTACTGTTGAACACCTGAGGGCCAAGAGGGGCTGAGCGGGCAGCCAACACACGCCCAGGCCCTCCTCCCCTCTGTTGTCCCTCAGCCCGGTCTCCTGCAGACTCTCAGCAGACACAGCCTCCTCCAGGGAGCCCTCCAGACTCCTGCCCCCGTGCTGGACCCTGGGTGGCACTTCCAGGGCTGCTTCTTACTCACTTGTCTGCTTCCCTGTGGGAAGGGGCGGCTTTCCCTTCCCAAAGGCAGGGTGGGCCCTCCGGCCTCCTGCATCCCCCGCTGGGCCTGGCACCATGAGGGAACAGGCAGTGGAAACGGAGCCTGGCTTCCCCAGGAGTGGGGCCAGGACACAGCAGCTGTCCGGGCCGCGAGAGTTGCCCAGGCCCCCTGACCTACCTCCATCAGGGACCGGTCCTGTTGCGACAGACGCAGCAAATGCAGGTTCCCGATGAGTGGCAGCGGGCGAGGCCCTGGGGGCCACCGGTGGGCTGGGGAGGTGTCTCGGGCATAGGCACGGAGCAGCCCCCAGAGCCCCAGCAGGCCCAGGAGCAGCAAGAGCAGCAGGGCCATGAGGACGTGGCTGGTGAGGCCCCGCTCCCCTCCTGGGCCCCGTCCCCCCCGCGCCCTTATAGGCCTCCCCGGGAGGGCGTGCCCGCACCCCACCCACCCCACCACCCCTAGAATGTGGAACGAGCAGTTTGCAGGGCAGCCCCCAGCAGGCGGCTTAAAGCTGCAGGCCTGCGTGGAATGTGGGGCTGAGGCCCTGGTGGGGCCGGATAGGGGAGGGCAGGACGGGGGCCCTCTGGGGTTAGGCATCCATGTCCCCTGTCCAGAGAGAAGGATGTGGCCCGTGGACTGTTCTGCTGAACCCACCAGTCCAGGCCCCTCGGCCTTGGCCACCCCTCAGAACTGGAATTCACAGGGCTTTGGGGCCAAGGCCCTGGCTTGGAGGGGAGCTCCCTGCCTTTCACAGGTTCTGAGTGGGACCCTGCAGAGCTCGGGGTTTGCAGGCCTCTCCCAAACCCCATCCGTGTGCACCTAGCTCTTCTCTGATCAGTTCCCCACCGGGCAAGGGACAGGAGTGAGACCTCAGGATGGCCCGTGAGGGGCCTCAAATCCCACAGCCCTCACAAGCCGCCACCCGCATCTCCCGACATGTTTCCTGAGGGTGTTCACCCCAGGTAGCAGCCTGCTCCTTTTTGAGGGCTGCCGCCCAGGCAGGGGATGCAACTGTCTGAGCTAGGACAGCAACGTGGAAGGGCTGCCGGGTGGTAGGTGGTGGGGTTTACGAGCCCTGTCCATCTGTCTCCTAAACCGCTGCGAGGGGCGGGAGGGCTGCTGGCAGCAGAAGCGGTGGGGCCTGCTTTGCACAGCCTGCCCTGACATGAGGCAGCTGGAGCTGGCGCCAGTGGGGCGGGACCCTCCCCACGGCCTGTCTCTGGGGCGTTGCCCATGCCCTGTACAAACCGCAGAGCCTGAGGCCCTCACCCCTCCTGGGTTTGGTCCCCCTTGATTGGCTGGCAGCCTAAGGCCCTCACCCCTCACCCCTCACCCCTCACCCCTCCCAGAGTTGGCCCCTTTGATTGGCTGGGAGGGAAAGCCCCAGCCACAGTTGCACGCCTCCTGTGGTGGAGAGCTCACTGCCTCTATCCCGCTGTACAGCCTCGGGGCCAGGGCTGGGTGGCTGCAGTGGGGAGGGAGTGCCTTATACCAGGGCCACTACTGGGTAGGCTGGGGGTCCTACCTGCCTAGCAAAGCTTACTTAATTAATTCAGGAACATTTTGGTTTTTTGTGGTTTTTTTTTTTTTTTTTTTTGAGATGGAGTCTCGCTCTGTCACCCAGGCTGGAAATGCAGTGGCGCGATCTCGGTTTTCACTGCAAGCTCCTCCTCCCACGGATTTACACCATTCTCCTGCCTCAGCCTCCCGAGTAGGCTGGGACTACACGCCCACCAACCTCGCCCAGGCTAGTTCTTTTTTGTATTTTTAGTAGAGATGGGGTTTCACCGTGTATGCCCCCTCCCATCGCTCCTGACCTCGTGATCCGCCCATCTCGGCCTCCCAAAGTGCTGGGATTACAGGCTTGAGCCACTGCGCCCGGCCTGTTTTTTTGTGTTTTGTTTTTGAGACAGGGTCTCGCTCTGTTGCCCAGGCTGCTATACAGTGCTGAGTACAGGCTCACTGCAACCTCCACCTCCTGGGCTCAAGCCATCCTCCCACCTTAGCCTCCCAAATAGCTGGGACTACAGGCATACACCACCAAGCCCAGCTAACTTTATTTATTTATTTATTCATTTATTTTGGTAGAGATGGGGATCCCACTGTGGTACTCAGGCTGGTCTCAAACTCCTGGGTTCAAGCAATCCTCCTGCCCTGACCTCCCAAAGTGTTGGGATTACAGGTGTAAGCCACTGCATCTGGCCTAGTTTTTAAAGTTTTGGGTTTTTTGTTGTTGTTGTTGTTGTTTTGAGACGGAATCTCACTCTGTCGCCAGGCTGGAGTGCCATGGCACAATCTCCGCTCACTGCAACCTCCACCTCCCCGGTTCAAGCGATTTTCCTGCCTCAGCCTCCCGAGTAGCTGGGATTACAGGCGCATGCCACCACACTCAGCTAATTTTTGTATCTTTAGTAGAGATGGGGTTTCACCATGTTGGCCAGGACGGTCTTGATCTCTTGACCTCGTGATCCTCCTGCCTCAGCCTTCCAAAGTGCTGGGAATTTTGTAAGTTTCTTTTAGAGAGGGAGTCTAGAGGCTGGTCTTGAGCTCCTCCTGGGCTCAAGCGATCCTACTGTGGCAGCCTCCAGAAGCGCTGGGATTACTGAAGTGAGCCAACGCTGGGCCAGCCTCTTTTTCTTTTGAGATGGAGTCTCGCTCTTGTCTTCCAGGCTAGAATATAGTGGTGCAATCTCGGCTCACTGCAACCTCCATCTCCTGTGTTCAAGTGATCATCCTGCCTCAGCCTCCCGGGTAGCTGGGATTACAGGCATATGCAACCACGCCCAGCTAATTTTTGTATTTTTCGTAGAGACGGGGTTTCACCATGTTGGCCACACTTGTCTCGAGCTCCTGACCTCAAGTGATCCACCTGCCTCGGCCTCCCAAAGTGTTGGGATTACAGACTTGAGCCCCGGTGCCTGGCCCTCTTTTAAAAATAACTCGTTATGGCTGGGTGCAGTGGCTCACGCCTGTAATCCCAGCGCTTTGGGGGGGGGAGGGGGGGGGATCACTTGAGGTCAGGAGTTTGAGACCAGCCTGGTTAACATGGTGAAACCCCGTCTCTACTAAAAATACAAAAAATTAGCCAGGCGTGGTGGTGGGAGCCTGTAGTCCCAGCTACTCGGGAGGCTGAGGCAGGAGAATGGCGTGAACCCGGGAGGCGGAGCTTGCAGTGAGCTAAGATCCGGCCACTGCACTCCAGCCCAGGCGACAGAGCGAGACTCCGTCTCAAAAAAAAAAAAACAAAAAAACAAAAAAAACCTCATTATTGGGGAATTGACAATTCTCTAATGGCCGCCTGTACGTGTTGCTTGCTCTGGGGGGCATGGCTGGGTGCGCATATTTACATTGTTTCCAATCTTAGGCTGTCACAGAACATCCTGCTAAAAATATGTGTCCATACCTGCAAGGATGGGCACAGTTGCACGGATATCTTAAAATAAATTCCTAGAAACCAGGTGGCTGAGCCAAGGGATTGTTGCTTTCTGATGGCCGGCGGACTTCCAGCGCCCTGCAGAGATGTGTGCCGACTGCGGCCTGGCTGCCCAGGCGGAGCCTGGGTCTGTTCGGATCAGGCCTGATTGATCCAACCCTGCCGGTCAGATACTCAGCCCTGTGCCATCCCTATGACCAGGAGGAATGCAGCGCTCTGGCTGGCTCAGGTCCTGCCTGGCCCTGACATCAGAGGCAGGGTGGGTGGGGTGGGTGGGTAGGTGGGCTCCCCCGGAGGGGCTGGAATCAGACAGACCTGGTTCCAAACTCAGCCCCGCACCTGTCGGCTGTGGCAGATGGCAGCTGCCAGAGATGGCCACACAGATTCTCCCAACCACACTGTCTTTGCGTAAATGTAACACTGAGCTTCTCCCTCCACAGGAAGGCTTGTGGTCCTTCCCCCTTTGTGACACAAAGTAGCAGAGGCCAGAAGCCATGTTTGCTCATTTGGCCTGTGGCATTCGCCCAAGGCTTTTGCAGTGCACAGGAGATCCAGCACACATCAAAAAGGAACAGTCCCTTAGCTCAGCAACCCAGTTTCCAGAAATTTAGTTTAAGGCATCTTTGCAACTGTGCGGAAAGAAGTGTGCGCCCTGCCTCAGTGACTGGGTGGCCCCCGGAAGAATGCCCCGGAGACTGAGCAGCCACGGCGCAGGTTCCCACAGCTCTTGCTTGAATCCCTGTATTTTTTTTTTTTGAGACGGAGTTTCCCTCTTTGTCGCCCAGGCTCGAGTGCAGTGGCGCCATCTCAGTTCACTGCAACCTCCGCCTCCCGGGTTCAAGCGATTCTCCTGCCTCAGCCTCCTGAGTAGCTGGGATTACAGGCACCGGCCACCACGCCCGGCTAATTTGTGTATTTTTAGTAGAGACAGGGTTTCACTATGTTGGCCAGGCTGGTCTTGAACTCCTGACCTCTGGTGATCCACCCACCTTGGCCTCCCGAAGTGCTGGGATTATAGGCGTGAGCCACCACACCCGGCCAAATCACTGCATTTTTTAAAAAGGTCAACAATCCTAGCCCTTGCCTCCTCCTGTACATAACATACCGTCCGACAGGATCAGTGGCTATAATCTATGACGAGATGGACTCTTGCACTGAAACTTTGATGATCGGATTTGGCTCGAAGGTACCCCTGCGCAGGTGCAGAGCCTCCACCACCTGTTGATTGATAAGCTGTGGCCCGAAACATTGCTTTGGAGCAGTCAGACGGAAACTCTGAAACACCCTCCCGGATTGCAGTGCTCAGCAGGAATCTGAATAAAACTAACTTTAGTTCTTCAAAAGCAAAAGTTTTCTCTAGTTGACTCCTTGAATCTGGGTGGGCACTTCTGACCACGGTAGAGGCTGGATCCCAAACAGTGATGCAGCTTCCTCTTGGTTCCCTGGGACACCTGTGCCGTGGACCCAGGCGTCATGCTGTGGGGAAACCCAGCAGCTCCTAAAGGGGCCCACATGGAGGGGACCCAGGCCCACAGAACCATGGCCACGCCTCTGCCCAACCCTGAGCCCACCTGCCTGCCAGCCACGTGCACCATCCTGAGTGGATCCTCCCGTCTGAAGTGGAGCGAACCCAGCCGAGGCCCCGTGGAGTGTCTCCACCAAGACCTGCCCAAGTGCAAGTCCATGGGTAATGACTGCTGCTAAGTGGGCTGCTTTGTTATGCGGCGGCAGATAACACAAACGCGGCCATGTAAGCTTCAGCGAGGGATGGGACCCCTGGGAGTCTGTTTCTCAGTGTCAGATGAGGATAAGAGACCTGCTTAACTGGGTTCATTCATTTGCAAACTATAAACGGAGCACGTCCAGCATGCCAGGCACTGTTCCAGGCTCGGGGGATCCCGGGTGGAAAATGCGTAGCAATGCCTTGATCGCTGGGGCTCAAACAAGGTTCGTTCCCACCTCTGAGCTTTTCCTTTTTTCTTGTAGACAGGGTCTCACTTTTTTCGCCCAGGTTGCAGTGCAGTAGTACAATCTTGGCTCACTGCAGCCTCAACCTCCCAGGGCTCAGATGATCCTCCCACCTCAGCCTCCAGGGTAGCTGGGACTACAGGTGTGGAATTTTTTTTTTTTTTTTGAGACGGAGTCTTGCTCTGTTGCCCAGGCTGGAGTGCAGTGGCGAAATCTTGGCTCACTGCAAGCTCCGCCTCCCAGGTTCACGCCATTCTCCTGCCTCAGCCTCCCGTGTAGCTGGGACTACAGGCGCCCGCCACTGCACCCGGCTAATTTTTTGTATTTTTAGTAGAGACGGGGTTTCACCATGTTAGCCAGGATGGTCTCGATCTCCTGACCTCGTGATCCTGCCATCTCATCCTCCCAAAGTGCTGGGATTACAGGCGTGAGCAACCGCGCCCAGACTGGATTTTTTATAGACAGGGTTTCAGCATATTGTAGCTGGGACCACAGGTGTGCGCCCCTACACCCATCTAATTTTTGTATTTTTGTTTTGTTTTGTTTTGTTTTGTTTTTGAGATGGAATCTCACACTGTCGCCCAGGCTGGAGTGCAGTGGTGCGAACTCGGCTCACTGCAAGCTCCGCCTCCCGGGTTCACACCATTCTCCTGCCTCAGCCTCCCGAGTTGCTGGGGCTACAGGCGCCCGGCTAATTTTTTGTATTTTTAGTAGAGACGGGGTTTCACTGTGTTAGCCAGGATGGTCTCAATCTCCTGACCTCGTGATCCACCCGCCTCCACCTCCCAAAGTGCTGGGATTACAGGTGTGAGCCACCACACCTGGCCCAATTTTTGTATTTTTTATAGACATAGGGTTTCAGCGTGTTGTAGCTGGGACTATAGGTGTGTGCCCCTACATCCTGCTAATTTTTGTATTTTTTATAGACATAGGGTTTCAGCATGTTGCCAAGACTGGTCTTAAACTCCCGGGCTCAAGTGGAGAGCTGGGATTACAGGTGTGAGCCACCACCCCCAGCCCCTTCCCCACTTTTTATACCGGTGAACTGCTCATAAAAATTCTTTCCTTTTCTCTCCCAGCTAAAGATCTCGTATCTCATATAAAGCAATAACCATTTGCCAGGTGACAGTCAATTAAAAGCCAGTTGTCACCTCCAGGCCACAGGTCCCTCGGGGCTCTCAGACAGAGAGGCTTAGGGCAGCCCCAAGGGAGGGGCTGTCCTTCCACTGCTAAGCTGCTGCTCCGGTCAAGTGAGTGAGCTCTTTGCTGGGTAATAAAAGCTCCCATTGTTCACAACCCTGGAAATGTATTAATGAGTAACCCAGTGTGTGGGCCCCTGGTGTAAAATAGTAGTTTATATGACAGGAATAAGGTGCAATTTTCCTTTTGTCGTTTTCAGTGGGTCCAGAGCCCCAGGCCAATCAAGGACCTGACAACTGGATATCTGCAGCCCTGGGCCCTCCCCTGGGGCCTTGGCGTGAGGTCCGCACTGCCCTGCGGTTCAGAAACATTCAGTGCCAGGCTTGTGGCTCAGCTATGGGCACACGGAGCAGAGTCCGACCTCGGGCACAGGAATCTAATGGTGTGCATTGCAGAGGGGCAGGTTCACCAGGGCCCAGCGATGGGGAGAGCTAGAAGCCACATGGGGAGGGGACACCTGGGCCAGGCTTGAAGAAGGGCAGGCCCCGGGGTGGGGGCGGTTGGGCTGCCTTGACCAAGCCTTTGTCTGCAAGCAGCCCCTGGGAAGTTGCAGGAACTGGCTCTTAAGCAACAGTGGTTTCCGGTCACACCAGGGGTCCAGAGGGGGCCAGGCAGCAAACTCAGTGTTGCTGGGGGCCCACGGTGCTTCCCACCAGGGCCTGGCTAGTGATTGTGAAATGGGGGGGGGATGGATGAGTGAGTGGAGGCTGGAGCTTGGGCCATCCATAGCACTGTAAAAGGTCCAGTGTTCGACTTCCTCATGGCCAGGACAGGTTCAGGGCTGGGAGAGGCTACGCAGGTGGAAGCTGGGGTCTTCACTGAGCCCTTTCCCATGACTGCTGTTGCCATGGTAACATCGACAGGCCAATGCCGGGCCCGGGCCTTACCACTTACAATACACTTTCATTCTGTCCTAGGTTGAGTTGCAACTACCCTGTCCCCCATTCATATGGTGAAGTCCTAGCCACCAGGACCTTAGGATGTGACCTTTGCTTTGGAAATAGGTGCCTTACGACCTTACAGGCGGTGGCTCACACCTGTAATCCCAGCCCTTTGGGAGGCCAAGGCGGGTGGATCACTTGAGGTCGGGAGTTCGAGACCAGCCTGGGCCACATGGTGAAACCCCGTCTCTACTAAAAATACAAAAAAATTGGCTGGGCGTGGTGGCAAGTGCCTGTAATCCCAGCTACTCAGGAGGCTGAGGCAGGAGAATCACTTGAACTCAGGAAGTGGAGGTTGCAGTGAGCTGAAATTGCACCATTTCACTCATGTCTGGGTTACAAAGCGAGACTGTCCCGAGAAAAAAAAAAAAAAAAAAGCCGGGTGTGGTGGTGCACGCCTGTAATCCCAGCTACTTGGGAGGCTGAGGCAGGAGAATTGCTTTAACCTGGGAGGTGGAGGTTGCAGTGAGCCAAGATTGAGCCACTGCACTCCAGCCTGGGCAACAAGAGAGAGACTCCATCTTAAAAAAACAAAACAAAGAAATAGGGTTGCTGCTGATGTAATTAGTTAAGATGAAGTTACTAGGGTAGGCCCTAACCCAACATGACTGCTATCCTTATAAAAAGAGGAAATTTAGGTTGGGAATGGTGGCTCATGTCTGTAATCCCAGCATTTTGGGAGGCTGAGGCAGGAGGATTGCCTGAGCCCAGGAGTTAAGGACCAGCCTAGGCAACATAGGGAGACTCCATCTATACGAAAAATACAAAAATTAGTCTGGTGTGGTGGTGTGTGCCTGTAGTCCCAGCTACTCAGGAGGCTGGGGCGAGAGGATCGCTGAGCCCAGGAGGTGGAGGCTGCAGTGAGTCGTGATCGCGCCACTGCACTCCAGTCTGGGCAGTAGAGCAAGACCCTGTCTCAAATAAATAAATAAAAATAGGAAATTTGGACACGCACAGGACACCATGGGAACGTAGGGGCCAAGACCAGGTGGTGCTTCTGCAAGCCAAGGAACATCAGAGACTGGCGGCCCCCAGAAGCTGGGAGGCAGGCCTGGGACTGTCCCCAGGGCCCCCACCCTGCCCACTGCTTGGACTCCGGGCCCCAGGACTGAGAGCACATTCCTGTTGTTGAAGCTGCTCCGTGGTGGCACCTGGCTCCAGCAGTCGCAGGCAGCGAGTCCACACGCTCTCCCGTCCCTCCGGTGCCGCCTTCCTCCCCGGATGGGCCTGGTGATGAGGCCTCTGTGCGATGGGGAAATCGAGGCCCCGGCAGACACCTGGGATGCAGAGACGCCCGGCACCGCTATGTGTCCTTGGGCAATTTACTGAACCTTTCTGGGCTTTGGTTTCTCACCCATTCCAAAAGCTGATTCTGCTACCGACTGCTGCGAGGGTCCCAGGGGACGGGAGAGCCCGGGCAGCGCCCACCCGGGTTCAGGAGCTTCCTAAGTCCGAGGGGGCGGGGCCGGGCCTGGGCAGGGGGCGGGGCCGGACCTGGGCAGGGGGCGGGGCCGGGCCTGGACAAATTGGGGGCCGGGCCTGGGCAAAGGGCGGGGACAGGGACTGCACGACGTGCTCGGCGCTCCCGGGGTGCCTGCTCGGCGCTCCGCCGGCCGCCCTGCGTACGCTCGCAAGGCACTCGCAGACTCCGGCGTCGCCAAGATGTCGACCGCCATGAATTTCGGGACCAAGAGCTTCCAGCCGCGGCCCCCGGACAAGGGCAGCTTCCCACTGGATCACTTAGGTGAGCAGCGGAAGGTCGGTGGGCAGGGGTCTGGGATGAAGGGTCTGGGTCGCGGCCCAGCGCGGAGCCCCATGGGGTGCCGGCATCTGGCACGGTGCAGGCGGGGAAACTGAGGCACGCCACCCGCCCCCACGCCCCAGCCCCGGGTCACTGCTGCGTTGTGGACCCTGCAGGTGGGAGCTGGCAGGACCGTGGCCGCCGTGACGAGGACAGCGACTCCTTGCGTCGGGTTCTGGGTCCCCGGCTCTGCCCTGACTCGGTGGGCTGTCTGTGCCCCGGGTTTGCAGAGCGGGGCATTCGGCGGCCGCGAAGCCCGCAGCTGCAACCGGGGCTTAGACGGTGCCTGGCGTGTCTGCTGCAGAGCTCCAAAGTGCTGCTGATCTCTCAGTGGTTCTGGCCGGATTCCGGTATGGGGTTAGCCGTTAAATTGCCTCCATGGACATGAAGGCTTTGAAAAAGGATCTGTGGGCCGGGCGCGGTGGCTCACGCCTGTGATCCTAGCCCTTTGGGAGGCCGAGGTGGGCGGATCACTTAAGATCAGGAGTTCGAAACCAGCCTGCCCAACATGGGGAAACCTCGTCTCTACTAAAAATATAAAAATTAGTCGGCTGTGATGTGGCTCTCCTGTAGTCCCAGCTACTCGGGAGGCCGAGGCAAGAGAATCGTTTGAACCGGGAGGCGGAGGTTGCAGTGAGCCGAGTTCAGGCCACTGCACTCCAGCCTGGGCGACAGAGTGAGACGTCTCCAAAAAAAAAAAAAAAATTTAACCTGGGAGGTGGAGGTTGCAGTGAGCCGAGATCGCACCATTGCACTCCAGCCTGGGCGACAGAGTGAGACGTCTCCAAAAAAAAAAAAAAAAAAAAGAAAGAAAGAAAAGAAAAGAAAAACGATCTGTGAATCACTGTTTCTTTCCTAATATTTTATTGTGACATTTTCAAACACAGCAAAAATGAAAGACTTTTTACCCCGAACTCTCCTGGGACCATCACTTAGCTTGCACCTTAACCTTGTACTGGGCTGAAGGTTACCACGTTGTGGGTTTTTTCCAGTGTTGTTTTCAGCATGTTTCTGAAGGAAACAGGTTTGGGTTTGTTTGTTTTTGTTTTGAGACAGGGTCTCACTCTGTTGCTTAGGCTGGAGTGCAGTGGTGCAATCATAGCTCACTGAAGCCTTGGCCTCCTTCCTTTCTGGGCTCGGGGGAGTCTCCTGTCTCAGCCTCTAGAGTGGCTGGGACTATAGGTGTACCGCACCACACCCAGCTAATTGTTTTATTTATTTATTTATTTATTTATTTATTTATTTATTTATTTATTTATTTTAGAGATGGGGTTTCCCCATGTTGTCCATGGCTGGATTATTTATTTATTTATTTTTGAAATGAAGTCTCACTCTGTCGCCCAGGCTGGAGTGCAGTGGCATGATCTCGACGCACTGCAACCTCTGCCTCCCGGGTTCAAGCGATTCTCCTGCCTCAGCCTCCTGAATAGCAGGGACTACAGACATCCGCCACCATGCCCAGCTAATTTTTGTATTTTTAGTAGAGATGGGGTTTCACCAAGTCGGCCAAGCTGGTCTTGAACTCCTGGCCTCAGGTGATCCACCCACCTCTGCCTCCCAAAGCACTAGGATTACAGGCGTGAGCCACTGCTCCCGGCCTGGATTATTTTTAAGAGACAAGGTCTTGATCTGCTGCCCAGGCTGGAGTGTAGTGCTGTGGTCATAGCTCACTGCAACCTTGAACTCCTTTGCTCAAACAATCCTCCTGCCTCAGCCTCCTGAGTAGCTGGAACCACAGACATGCGCCACACCTAGCTAACTTTTAAGGTTTTTTTGGTAGAGATGGGGGATCTCACTATGTTGCCCAGGCTGGTCTCAAACTCCTGGGGTCAGGCGGTACTCTTAGAGTGCTGGGATTACAAGTGTGAGCCACCACGCCCAGCCTGAGGAAACAAGTTTTGAAAGGAAAAGTAGCGCAGCTCTTATTAAGGCCGTTGTGTGGTTGCATCATGTTTCACTTTGAAACAAACGTGCTGTTTTCTTTCTCATTCTAGGTGAATGTAAAAGCTTTAAAGATAAATTCATGAAGTGTCTTTATGACAATCATTTTGAAAATGCTTTGTGCAGAAATGAATCCAAAGAATATTTAGAATGCAGGATGGAGAGGTAAGTACAGCTAAGCGTTATGACTTCCATTTCCCACTACTCCAATTAAAACTTTTTTTTTCCTGAAAGGCATCACGGTGTGTCTTTTTCAGGCCTGGGATTCAGCTAGTGTTTTTCAGGACTGTAGAATTGTTTGCCCTTGAAATGGAGGCTTATCAGATGAAATTGTACCAAAAGCTGTTTCCCAATCTTGGGAACCTCCTCTTGAGCGATAGCGTTATACATCATTGCATTCCCGAGAGCATTTTCTTTCCACATTTGGTTGCTACCGACCTGTCATTAAGGTTTCAAAATCGTGCATCATAAAAATGCTGACTGAGTCAAAAGATTGAAGGTCGTGGGTATACAGTTTCTTTCTTTTGCATTCTCAGACATTAAAAATATGCACTGGGTTGTTTTGCTCCACTTAGAGTTGTTTGGAATGTGACAGGGAGGACAATAGACTATTCAAGAAATGATGAAAGATGAATGGTTCTTCCTTTCGTAACCAGAACTCACCAAAGCTCACTTTTAAACAAAACAAACGCGTTTGTAGCTATGATCCCCACAGCTTTTACTTAAAATAAGAGCTGTCCTAATCCTTATGCAAAAAAAGCACGTAGCATGTAATTATATGATGGTGGTGGGAGCTTTTATTTTTTATTTTTTATTTTTTTTTTATTTTTTATTTTCGAGGCCATGATTAGCTCACTAAGCATTTCAGTCTTCAGACAGCTGTGTCTGTGCTGAAGACAGGTTGACAATTCACCATCTACTTTGAGTTCTTTTCATTTTCCCATAACAGACTCAGACATTTCCCTCAAGGCAAAAATCCGTTATGCCTTTCAGGCCACACAGGTGTGTTTGGGGTTATTTGTGTGGACATTTGGGGCCATAAGGATGATGGGCCTTCTCAGCGGTGTGGACTTCCAGTGAGGCCACATTCTGCCTTTGGGGCTGTTGCTCAGGCTCTTCCAGGGCTCACATTTGTCCAAGGACCACACTGAGTCTGTCCCTTACCATCTCTAATTGTTTATAAGTAGCACGCTGGCTGGAGCCACGTGTTTAAATTAGTCTGAAATTAATGCATCTTTAGAAAACTGGAACTGAGAATTTCTCCATGGCGCTGCCAAGCTTTAGAGACCATGTGAATTGGGCTCTGTTCATGTGAGGGTGTGAGCAGGTCTCCTGCCTCATGCTCAGCTTCCCCATGAGACTCCTGAGGACAGCGGGGAGGAAGGGAGCCAGGGCCAGTGCCTCAGGTGGCCTCGCGATTGGCCAGGCAATGTTTAGGCAAATGTGCAGGGCACGTGTTTCTGATTTCATTGTTTTTTTATTTTTATTTTTATTTTTTTTGAGATGGAGTGTCAGTCGCCCAAGTTGGAGTGCAGTGGCACGATCTCAGCTCCCTGTAAGCTCCGCCTCCCAGGTTCATGCCATTCTCCTGCCTCAGCCTCCCGAGTAGCTGGGACTACAGGCGCCTGCCACCACGCCCGGCTAATTTTTTGTATTTTTAGTAGAGACGGGGTTTCACCGTGTTAGCCGGGATGGTCTCGATCTCCTGACCTCGTGATCCACCTGCCTCAGCCTCCCAAAGTGCTGGGATTACAGGCGTGAGCACCGTACCCGGCCTTTTTTTTTTTCTTTCTTTCTTTAAAAAAAATCCTGCTCCTTCTGTAAGGTCAGTTATTTTGACTGTAGAATTTTGATTGGTTATTTGTTCATGAAAATCATCAAACATACAGAAGTTGAGGATAATCTGCCTCCCGTAACTGGCACCCGCCCTGTTTTTAGCCATTTCTTTTCTTCCTTTTTCTTTCTGTGCTAAAATCCCAGACGTGACTTTACTCCCACCTCTGTGTGTGTCTATTTTAGAAAATGAACCACTATAGAGTTTTAAAAACTTTAATAAACTTTAAAATAAACTTTAAACTTTAAGTTTATTTAAAATAAACTTTAAACTTTAAGTTTATTTAAAATAAACTTTAAAAAAGTTGTCTTGTGAGGACTTGGACCATGTTAGCCTGATGTGAAAATATAGGTGTGTTTTAGATGACCACCGTGGTCTGAGATCTCAAGCCTCTGCAGTGATTTAGAAGTTCGCGTCCTGTCCTGGGGATTAGGCACCGGGGGTAACACAGACACCCTGGTGGAGCAGCCTCACCCCCTGCCAGCAGCACAGAGTGCATGGGGGCCTAATGGGATGGTGGCTGGGCCTCCTGGCTGGGTTGTGGGGAGGGTAAAGGAGGCCATCCCTATAAAGCACACAGCAGGATCGGGGGGCATGTCACCATGTGTGTGTGAGTTCACATGGTTGTTACTATTGTCCTGAAGAGTGTGGGGCCCATAAAAAAGTCATGCTGAGTCGTGAATTTCACGTCGCTAAGATGGCTGCCCTGCGATAAACAGCTGGGAATTACTTTGGCCGGATGTGGTGGCTGACGTCTGTAGCCCCAGCACTCTGGGAGGCCAAGCAGGAGAATCACTTGAGCTCAGGAGTTCAAGATCAGCCTGGGCAACATAGTGAAACCCTGTATCTACAAAAAATGTCTTAAAAAATTAGCTGGCTGGGTGCAGTGGCTCACGCCTATAATTCCAACACTTTGGGAGACTGAGGTGGGCAGATCACTTGAGGTCAGGAGTTCAAGACCAGCCTAACCAAAATGGTGAGACCCCATCTCTACTAAAAATAAAAAAATTAGCCAGGCGTGGTGGCAGGCGCCTGTAATCCCAGCCACTTGGGAGGCTGAGGCAGGGAGAATTGCCTGAACCTGGGAGGTGGAGGTTGTAGTGAGCCGAGATCATGCCGCTGTACTCCAGCCTAGGCAACAGAGTAGGACTCTGTCTCAAAAAAAAAAAAAAAAAAAAAAAAAATTAGCTGGCCGGGCACGGTGGCTCATGCCTATAATCCCAGCACTTTGAGAGGCCGAAGTGGATGATCACATGAGGTCAGGAGTTCGAGACCAGCCTGACCCATATGGTGAGACCCCGTCTCTACTAAAACTACAAGAATTAGCTGGGCATAGTGGTGTGCACCTGTAGTCTCAGCTACTCAGGAGGCTGAGGCAGAAGAATCACTTGGACCTGGGAGGCAGAGGCTGCAGTGAGCCGAGATCGCATCACTGCCCTCCAGCCTGGGCAACAGAGCGAGACTGTCTCTGGGAAAAAAAAAAAAAAAACTTAGCCGTGCATGATGGCATACATCTGCAGTCTCAACTACCCAAGAGGCTGAGGTGGGAGGATCACTTGAGCCCAGGAGTTCAAGGCTGCAGTGAACTTGAACCGCTGATTGCACCACTGCATCCCAGCCTGGGAGACAAAGTGAGACCCTGTCTCTAAAAAAAAAAAAAAGATCAGATAACCGTCGACCGCAGTCTCAGTTCTACCTGGGCGGATGGCAACCTAAGGTCTCCTCTGCCAGGGTGCCATGGAAGGTGGCGGGCAGAGGTTCCAGGGATTAGGGCGTGAACATCTTTAGGGGTCATTATTCTGCCAATAAAGGCAAGTCTGGGAGGTCAGTGTGAAGCTGTTGTCCAGATACATCTTTTACCAGAACGTGGGGAAGTGGTGTGTCCTGGGGGCAGCAGGCGCAGCTGCCCTTCTTGGGCATCCCAGCAGGCCCCAGGCCTTAGGCCCTGGGATGTCTCTAAGGGGTCATGTCCTCATTGCCCTGTTGACTCTGCCCACTGGGGAAGGCGCCAGGCACGGGGGCCGAGGCCGAGGGGCCTGTCTCCCAGGACGTAGATAGGGGTGGCAGGACCCCCGGTTTGTGGTGAGAAGCCAGGGCCTGCAAGGGCCCCTCTCGTCCTCCCTGCGCCTCCCGCCCTGACAGCTTTCTCTTTTTCTTTTAGAAAATTGATGCTACAAGAACCATTGGAGAAACTGGGATTTGGAGACTTGATTGGTGGAAAATCAGAGGCAAAAAAATGAATTTTGATGAGAAGACCCCTAGGCCGTGTTCAGTGGTCTCTCGGGACGGAGGGCATCATCCTGCCTCTTAGGTCGGCGAAGGCCTGCGTGTAGTGTCCTTAGAAACAGGCTTCAAATAGAGGCTCCACCCCTGTGGGGGCGTCTCCTGGGTAGGGAAGTGGCGTCCTGTTTTCCCTTAGGAGGGTGTTTCTGCATTGAACCCCTGAGTGGGACGGCGTTCCCTGCAAGGCTGGGAGGGAGGGGAGCATGGGGCAAGACCCTCGTCTTCGAGGCCGGGGCCCTCTTGTATGGGGCGGTTTTATGTTGCAGTCCTCTGATACTTTCTGAGTTCAAACAGGTAAATGTGCATAAATTTCAGTCCCTTCTGAACACAGATATCATCAGGAAATCACCATTCCCTAGCAGGATGTTTTCATGTTTGTATTCGTATATGCCAGTTCATTTCCTTAAAGAAAGAAAAAAAAAAAGTGGAACACAGAGTAGGAAGTGAGAACCTTCTGGCTTTGGATGGATTTGACTCCTTGATTCTTTCTGGTTTTGCCTGAATACCAAGTAGCTTCATGATCAAAGGGTCATTTTCTGATTTGTATCAGACCATATTTATAAAGCTGGGTATTTAATTTCAATAACTCCTATATTTTAACAGAAAAAGAGAACCTGAGTCCATTTGCAGGCTCGCACCAGCTGTCTTCTGTGCCAGTGAGCTCTGCCTAAGATCCCTGGCACATATTCGCAGCACGTCCTGGCCCCTGAGTAGAGTTCTCAGCCCGTCTGCGCCAGAGTTGCCTGTGGGTCACGGAAACCCAGCCCGGGTCCACCCAGTGCATCAGGCCAGCCGGGGCCCAAACCTGTGGATGGAACGCAGGTGCTTGCACATCTGCGGCCTCAGCCAGACCTGTCCCCTTCCCAGGCGTTGTTGGAAAGGGGCTGGCTCCTGTCTGGTCAGTGGAGGGCGGTGGCAGGAGATGGGGTGGGAGGATCCAGGTCACGTCCTCTCTGGCGACCCTGGCAGTGGCTGTCTCTAAGCCCTGGCAGGTGGGGCCACCAGCCTGGCCGACCTCGGGCTCCAGGAAACAGGCTGCCCTCACCCCTCCTGCCTGTGGGTGGCTGAGGCTTCTCAGCCCATCTCCAGTTCTCTGCAGCAAACGCCCTCTGTTTCTGTCCTGCAGTGGTGGCCCTTTTGTGGTTAAACATGTCCCCCCCTCCCCACAGAACTGAGTACTTGTTGCGAGTGGGCCCGCCCAACCCTGTGTCCCTGCACCCATGGGTTCTACGACTTGCTTCCGCTGCAGCTGTCACTATCCCGTGTCTGCTCTCTGTCAGGCCTCTAAGTGCTGCAGACATATTAACATATCACCGCTAGTTTGAAAAGTCTTATTTGTTATCAGAATATTTTGTGTAGGCACAGGGTTGCCCCAGCACTGTTTGTGGCAACCCCAGTGTCCTCACAGCATGCGGGAGCCGTGACGCAGCCACCGTGGAGTCCACGCTGACACGGTGCGGCCATGTGCCATGAGCTCACCGACGCAGTGCGGCTGTGTGGCGTAAGCTTACTGTGAAACGGAGACAGGGACATAGGAAACTACAAAGGAGAACCCCAGAAGGAGGAGCCGGAGCTGATGGGCGTGGCCGGCCGCGAGCCCCTCCGAGCACCCCTGGGAGTGGAGTTCTGGCTGTCATGGCAGAGGGTTTCACATGCTCAAAAAGTAAACGAACCAGGATATGAGGGGAACACAACAGGCCGTGCCCACGGAGCGCCTGGGCCCAGGCCGGGGCCTCTTCACACCACACTCTGACCCACCATCGGGAGCGCTCGGCGGGGGCTGGGGCCTGCCTCTTCCCTTGAACCACACTCTGACTCGCTGATGGGTGCCCCGGGGCCAGAGCCTTCCTCTTCGTGCCGCACTCTGACTCGTCAGGAGTGTGGGGCAGACTATGGACCAAAGCTGGGAGAGACAGGAAAGATACTGCACTCTAGGGAGTGAATTTCTTTTTTCCGTGTACGATTCTGAAGCTATATTCTGAGATGGAAAAAACTAGAAGTACATTGTGGATGATAAAAGGCAGGCGTATTGATCTCCTGCTTTTCTAACATACAAAGGTACCTGGATAGAGAAATAGAGTGATCACTGTCACCTGCCCAGGGTATCCTCTGAGACCCCAGCGGATACCTGAAGCCGCGGATAGTCCTGAATCCTGTCCCATGTTTTTTCCTGTACGTACCTGTGATCAAGTCTGAGGTGTGACCGCAAAACTGACAGAACTTTCTGCTTCCTCTTCAAAATGTCACAGGTCGGAGCTGTGTTCTTACGGAAGATCTTAGCAACCTCGGCATATGGCTGTTTTAGGTTAGGAGTTTCCACCTTTTCCCTTAAAGGAAGCGCTTGGCAGCTTCTCTGGTATATCTGAGTCGCCTGCATCACCACTCTTGTGCTTTGGGGCCATTATTAAGTAAAATAAAGGCTTCTTGGACCCAGGCGCCACATCACCGTGACGGTAGGTCTGATCACCGAAATGGCTACTGAGTGCCTGGCAGGCAGGGTGGCGTGGACAGCCTGGAATGCTGGACAGGGGGAGGGTTCACGTCCCGGCAGGACAGCTGCTCAGAACAGCATGGAATTGAAAACTCATGAATGGTTTATTTCTGGAATTTTCCACTTAGTATTTTTGGAGCGTGGCTGACCATGGGTAACTGAAACTGTGTGTAAAGGGGACTATTGTGAGGGGCTGTGCACAAATGCTTCCCAGCTCTGCCCTGAAGGCCTGAACGCAGCGCCCCCCACACTCAGGGTCTTGGCCCTGATACCATTCTCTAACCAAAGGAACCAGGGCCAGGCCAGAGAAGGTATTGGATAAGCCAGAGAGTGAAGAATTGCTGAGATGAAGGGGCTTATTGAAATAACACTGGGGGATAGGAAGGAGCACACGATGGCCAACCTGGGGCAATTTGAGCATGAAAATAAACAGGCCAGGCCCGGCAGCTCATCTGCAATTCCAGCACGCTGTGAGGCCGAGATGGGAGGATCGCTTTAGGCCAGGAGTTCAGCATGAAAATAAACAGGCTGGGCGCAGTGGCTCACGCCTGCAATCCCTGCACTGTAGGAGGCCAAGGTGGGAGGATCACTTGAGGCCAGGAGTTCGAGACCAGCCTGGGCAACATGGTGAAACCTGTCTCTACAAAACAAGAAAAATCAGCTGTGTGTGGTGTCACCCGCCTGTAGTCCCAGATACTCAGGAGGCTGAGGTGGGAGGATCACGTGAGCCAGAGGTTAAGTCTACAGTGAGCCACGATTATACCACTGCTCTGCAGCCTGGGCAACAAAGCAGGACCTTGTCTCACAAAAAAAAAAAAAAGAAAATTAATTATTGTAATGGGCTGTAGCTCACAGAATAAATTGGTATCCACTAGTCTATACAAAATAAGTAATCGGGTATCAATGAGGGGAGGGCCAGGTCTGTCTTATTAATTCTAATGTAGAATTAATTCTAATGTAGAATTAATTCCTTCTACATTAATTCTAATGTAGAAGGAATTTTGGGAACAGGAAATCGCTATTGCAGAAACCACAGTGGTGACGGGTGCAGATTACACCTGTTGGCCAGGCGTGGTGGCTCACATCTATAATCCCAACACTGGGAGGCCAAGGCAGGCAGGTCACTTGAGGCCAGGAGTTCGAGACCAACCTGGCCAACATGGAGAAACCCTGTCTCTACTAAAAATACAAAAATTAGCCGGGACTGGTAGCGCATGTCTGTAATCCCAGCTACTCGGGAGGCTGAGGTGGGAGAATCGCTTAAACCAGGAGGCGGAGGTTGCAGTGAGCCGAGATTGTGCCACCGCCCTCCGGCGTGGGCGACAGAACTGTCTCAAAAAAAAAAGAACCCTCAGTTGACATGAAGCGAGTGGTGAGGTGTGGTGTGAAGCAGGTGTCTGCTGAGTCTTGAGAAACCTTCCCTTGAGATGTGTACTCCCTCCAAGGAGACAGTGGTCACATCACAGCAGAGCAGCGGAAGCCCCCATAACCCAGCAGTCACTGCCGGGAGCGAGCCACACAGGCAACAGCGACCTGGTGACGTCACTGAGAGCACGGTGTCACCTCTGTTTCTCTTGCCCAACTGCATGACCTGAATGTAATCCCGAGGAGACATCAGACACAGACCCAGACCGAGGGGCCTTCTGCGAAGTGACTGCCAGCGCTCACCCAGTGTTATGTAAGATGTTATTTGGGGAACCGGGTATACACACCGTCCTATTTTTGGAACTTTTTGGAAGTCTGAAATTATTTTGAAATGAGAAAAAATATGCTTTGTATGAAACTGTAGTGGAATAGATTGAGTCGATTTTCATTTCGAAAATAACTTCAAAGAGTTTCCAATAGGAACGATGCCGGCATGAATGGTTTCAGCAGGTCACAGGCTGAGAAGCCCGAGTCCCAAAATAGCGCCCTTGTGTGGACAGCCGGACTCCTTACAAACGCGCAGTAGCTTCCCGACGCTGCCTCTGATTTTCTGGGTCTGGCTGCTGAATGCGCTGTGCTTAAGAATCCAGACACCCTGTTGTTCCTGCCAGAGCTTCTCACAAGATATTTCGGGTAGTTCATCATCTGTCGTGTGCAGAATGCATTTTACTTCTCATACACGCTTGTCATGATAAGCTGGCCACATTATTAAAAGGCTCCCAAAGATAATTTCCAGAACGTTTTCCAAGCGTTCCCCTTGGGATGAGGTAAACCAGAGGCGGCGTGGTCCCAGGCCCGCCCCGGTGTTGCTTCCCAGGAGGGGAGGTCTGACCTGGAGGCCTGGAGCCCCCCAGGGTCGGGTCTGCAGCCCCAGAGCTGATGTGCGGAGTCTCGTGTGCACAGGCCTTGTACCGGAATTCAGCGCTGGCCCTGTTCCACCCAGGCCTCAGGAGCAAGGCAAACCGCCTTCTTCCTGAAGCTTCCTGTGTCGGTTCCTCTGGCCACACTAATAGATTACTGTAAGCCCAGTGGCTTAAAGCACCGCAAGCATTACTATTCCAGAGCAGAGTCTACAAGGGGCCCAAGCCAGACAGGATGGCCCACGCCTGTCATCCCGGCAGTTTGGGAGGCCAAGGTGGGAGGATCGCCTGAGGCCAGCCCTGGCAACGTAGTGAAACTCTATCTCTACCAAAAAAAATTGTTTTTAAATTACCCTGGTGTGGTGGTATGCACCTGTAGTCCCAGCTACTCGGGAGGCTGAGGCAGGAGGATCGCTTGAGCCTGGGAGATAGAGGCTGCCGTGCGCTATGATGGCACCACTGCACTTAAGCCTGGGAGGCAGAGCAATACCCTCTCTCAAATTATAAATAGCTCAACAGAGGCTGGGCGCAGTGGCTCACGCCTGTAATCCCAGCACTTTGGGAGGCTGAGGCAGGCAGATCATGAGGTCAGGAGATCAAGACCAGCCTGGCCAATATGGTGAAACCCCGTCTCTATTAAAAATACAAACAGCCAAGTGTGTTGGTGGACGCCTGTAGTCCCAGCTACTCGGGAGGCTGAGGCAGGAGAATCGCTTGAACCCAGGAGGCGTAGGTTGCAGTGAGCCGAGGTTGTGCCACTGCACTCCAGCCTGGGCAACAAAACAAGACTCCGTCTCAAAAAAAAAA